TGTCGACCTGCAGTATGACTTACGGTTATGTCCGTTAATATTGAACACTACACTTATTGAACGGCAATAAAAATTATAAGTTTAAATTTATACATACATGTTCCGATTTTCTTCTATGGTGCTTTTGTATTTTGTCTCTCATGTCATGGAAATATTCCCGCGTCGTGATGTCATAGAGTTTACCAAGTTCCTTTTCGTTAACGGATGACGATAAGTACCGTGATTTTAGTTCACCTAGTTACCAAAAAACACTTTACCTCATATACTGCCGTAAATCCTGCACTTCTGAAGTGCTTTTTTCGATTAAGTCTCATGTAGTGTGAAATGGCGGGTAACTTCAGGTTTTATGACATAACAAAATATAGCGTATGGACTTTTTGAGATTATTAGCCACTAGCCGCGTCAACATGGGATTTGAATTAATAATCCAGTGAATTTAGTAGACTTACAAATTGTTCCTCATGTCTTCTTGCCGAAGGCATGCATCCAACGTTCGCAATTCCTTTTCAGACGAAAAAGGGAACTGCAATTTCGTTAGTGCAGTATCAAATTTGCGTGAACGTTCGCGCTCATCAGACTTAGAAATTAGCTGCATAATGTCTGCACTCAAGTCTGATGATATTTTCTGCTATACAGCATGCAGTTTGTCGAATCCTAAGCATTAGCTTCTATCGGAAACATGACATACTCTGCCACCAACGCACTGCCCACACGTTTCGATTCGGACGTTGGGGGTGACACATTCAACTGTATCGAACTAATTTAATAACATTTTAAAACGAAATATGCCTACTTCGCTATTGATGAGATAATAGTGTCCAGTAACGGGATCTAGGATACTGAAAGGGACTCTCCAGCCTACATCTTGACAACATCCATGTCGACGAAATTATCCAGAAACCATTCTTTCCGTCTCAGTTCACTTCTACAAAACATTAATAAGATCACTATACTGGCCTCTTCGGCTTCTCTGCGTCTAATATAAGGTGTTTTCGTACGTTTAACTTCTGACACGGTAATCAGCTAAATTGTTGAACGAAACTAACAAATTCTTTGCAGTCCGTAAATTATCTACAGGAAATGAACTTCTCTGTATTGGTAACTCACCACAGTAGTAGATGACCTTGCACTTTAGAATTGACTAGTTATCATATTCTTGGGGACTGCTCTGCTGGTGCATATTAACAACGTTAGTGGGATACAGACAAAGTTCTTTGCCTACTGTCCACTTTTTAGCTTCAATTAGGACCTCCTTCCTGTTTGGTGCGTTGATAAAACGAATTGATATTAGTAGGCTAAACAGTATATAAAAGGCCGAGAATTAGTTTTGACTAATACCATCAGCAAGAATAAGAAAATCATATATTCACATGAACGTATGTAGCAATGGACCGGTTATTCCATTATTAACACAGTTAACGGAAATATATTTACAGTCAACATCGGTAATGGAAACTCATATGTGCTCATGATTAACTATCAAGCACATAAATATAGCTATGTCACTAGAAGGGAATGGTTACGCGAAATAGTCACGTGGGTCCATGAATGGTCTAAGTTTAATTATTACGTTTTCCTCTATATCATTGACTAAACCAGGTTTACTGTGTACTGTTATTACGTTATAAGGCGCAAATCTAGTGCTATTCAGCATTATTTGTTTTTTTTCGGAGTCAAACTTGACGGATGTTTATATAGTAGTGACCTAAATGGTAGCTGAAGGAGTATTTTCGACACTACTTGAGATTAATTTACTTATATCTATATTTATTTATTTATTTAAACACATAATCATTGGTACAAAAAGGCACCAAATAGATATGCGCCACATAAATCATTCGATTTGTGTGAAGGGTGGGATACTGCTCGGGTGCCCAGACCGAAGCAGGTGGTTTTCTTAAGGGGCCACACTCCGAGCCTTTGATCTAAAAGTCTAACCCACAAGGCAGTGGAGCATCGTGAGGAGATGCAGTCCCATGGTAGCCGGTGACCAACGATTGGTTCATACGCCATTCGTTCTCGCAGGATACTGGAGCCCATGTGCACCATTGGTTTGGGGTCCGGTTAAAGCGCCGGACGTTCGCTTTTCGTCCTCTCAATTTCGTAAACAACACCCTCGCCACGAGAAGGCAGTAAGTAGGACTTCCCTGGTAGAGGCTATATACGCGTGGCCATGTGAAAGCATTTGGAGAGGGAGGGCGGACTCTCCCCACTCGACCGTACCAGGGCATTTGAGGGTACCTAGCCTGTCGCATGCCGTGATGGTGTTCTCGTAACTCTCGTGTTGCCTGATCTGCCTAGGGCGATGGGACAGTGCATGATGCTGTTGTTGTGTTCTAGATTCAAAGAGAATTGTGTGTTATATGCATGCAAATCCGCCCCGTTATTGTTCCTATTATTTATATCCATAAATAAAGGTTGGTTGATATCTCTAAGTCTTTTGTGCTGGAAATGTATGCATAGATTGATTAGTTTCTTCATCACACTTAAGTATGCCATGTGCATAGGATTCATAGGAAATGTTACAATCATATTATTGGCAAGTGTCTCGAGATTGGAACGGCCTTACTGGTGAATTGGCCGGCTCTGCTGACGAAAACTGTCATCAGATCGTAATGTAACTTCGGAAATGACATTGGGACTTTGCACTTACATGAAAATACGTAACAATCGTTGCTCGAGCATCTGTCTGTTATTTATCTCCTTGTAAAACATGTTATTTCTTATCAAAACGCTGTCGTTTTTTAATGTAGTCGATAACTATTATTGAATTATCATCAATTACCAAGCACAAATTGACTGCCTTTGTATTACGTTTACCGTGTTGTCACTGAGTCTAAGCAATCTTTCTTACACAGTGTTGGTCAAACGCAGTTGCTGATTATCCTCAACCAGGAGACTTTGGGCTTCGCAAGTAATAGGAAGCTGCTCTTACTCATAAACCGTGTACTCGATCCTTTGAAAACTGGCAAAAGTTACGACAGCATCGTAGATGAGCCAGGTTGGCATAGACTTCTGGGCTTAAAGCTGATGGTGTTTTCGGGTTCGCTGTTCTTGCGCCTCATTGGGGCATCGAATAATTATAGAGATCAATATTTCAGACATCATCCAAAGGCTGTCATCTGATTTTGCAACCTCAAATGATGTCCGTCAAGACTGTTTTTTATCAATTTTTTCCAACTTCATCATAGACCTACTTCTGGAAATAACGTTCTTGTCGTCTGAATTCTCGGTCATCGATCTCCTACCGGGAGGTCCACTTATCGACTTGAAATACGCAGATGAAATAGTCTTGTTTGGTGAAGACGCTGATAAAATGCAGAGTCTTTTGGTGGCACTAAGCAACAATTCCAGAATGTTTGGGATGCGCTTCTCTCCGTCTAAATGCAAGTTGTTGCTTCAGGACTGGTCTGCGTCAACACCTGGACTAAGGTTAGGGAGTAAAGTAGTCGAACGCGTTGACAACTTCACTTATCTTGGAAGTCTGATCAACCTTAATGGGTTGGTGTCTGGTGAAATCTGCACGGATTCAGAAAGTTTGTTTGGACGAGTATACTGCACAGCAGTTCATTCTGTCCTACTTTACGGCTGCGAAACATGGCCATTAAGAGTAGAAGATACTCGTAAGCTACTAGTATTTGATCACATATGTCTTAGAAATATTGCTCACGTCTTCTGGGATCACCTGGTAAGTAATAGTAAGGTTAGACGCATGGTATTAGAGAATGATGGTAAAACAGTTGATAAGGTTGTGAATCTTTATCGACTGAGATGGTTGGGTCACGTGTTATGTATGCCTGAACACCGATTACCACGACGTGCAATGTTAACCGGTGCTGGAGATGGTTGGAAGAAAGTAAGGGGCGATCAAACTAAAATGTGGCATCAGTCATCGAAGTCACTAACTTCTGGTTTGAGCTATGTTGGTAAATGCAGACTACTACTACTTTCAATTAATTTCATCACCCATACTCTCTTAAAGGGACTTATCTACCCGAAGCACGCATATAATTGTTGTTTTTTTTTAATTCTATCTGACTGTATAAGTAAGTACTTGAGCGCGTCAGTCACCTCATTTATTTTAGAAGTCTTAAATTTAAGGGGTTATAGACTATAAAAATTTCAACACATTCTAAAAGCTTACTCAGCTTTTGCCACTTTACGCCAACTGTAGCACAAGCGAAACCTTTCACTGTTAAACGGATCAATTGTGTATAGTCGTGATATTACTCGACTTTGTAAGTTGAAGTTACTACTTCGAGTTTAAACGCGGTAGTTCACAAACAGTTACCTAAAGCATTTGATAAGGAAGTACATAATTTTTCATACATATATCACGTTTTTATTCTTAAATTATTTGACTGGAATTTCAAACCCTTTCTCTCCTAATTTGGTTTAGTTAACCGGGTACAACAGACTGTACTTAATAAGTTGAATCGTCATATTTTCCTATGAAACTAAATATATTCTTCATATGATTCCAGGTAATAAATAATACACAACAATAAATGAGTGTCTGGCGCAGACTTCAAAGGGTTGGAAAAAAAGCAGCTAAATTTCAGATCACTGCTTCTTTGCATGAGCTGAATATTGAATGCTCGCGTCAATACAGCCCCGGAAACTTAATAGTTGTTTGGTCTCGTCGCAGTCGGAGATATTCTTCGAAAGTAAATCATATGTTCATCATTTACTAGTTTTAGCTTTTGTACTTTATTTTTAAATTAATTCATTTGTTAATGGTCGGTTTGCTATGTAACAAATATGTTATTTTGATTAAGATCCTGAACCGATTGATGTTAGACCACCGTTGGAAATCTGGAAGCACTGGACGGCCGTTTCGTCTCATTGTGGGACTCCTCAGCAGTGCGCGTCCACGCTCCCGCTCACGGGATTCGAACCCAGGGCCTTCAGTCTCGCGCGCGAACTCTTAACCTACTGGACCACTGAGCCGGCATCCAATAGTGTTAGTGTTGCCCGACCATCTCCCGTTGTACTGACGTAGATACCTGTCTCTACCCGACACGAATTAGCTCCACTGGTCACGGCTTTTACTGAGAATAAGCGGACGATTTATATATATACTAGAACGAGACGGCCGTCCAGTGCTTCCAGGTTTCCAATGGTGGTCTAACATAAATCGGTTCGTGATCTGAATGAAAAACTCAATAATCTGCACAAGCCCTATACTGATAAATATATTATTTGTCTAGTAAGCTTCAACTCCGGGATTTAAACGAGTGATAATCTGTACGCACTATGTGTTCCAACACAATAAGCAGGACAATTACACGGAAGTAAAAACTGCCTTCAATGTTAGTTATCTGTTATTAGATGTTTTATCTATTAATTCAGATTTTTCAAATAAATTCAAACTAAGAAGACAGAGGCTTAGATCACTGAAAGCACGATCTATTGTACTAAATTCTGTTTAATGAGAATTCACGTCCTAATTCGTGAATGAGTTTTGAAATACCACTGGATAGGTTTTGGGTGGTCTAGTCAAATGTGTTTATTTTAGCAGTTGATGATATCGAATAGCGTAGTCATCGTCTTGTTTGATTGATTTGAGGCTCTCGTAATGAACAATAATTTTCTGAAAATGTCACTTTCCTCGAAGTTGAGCTGAAGGTAATTTTTGTAGTTCTTTGTAATGTGATCACTAGTATTTCACCACCAGTTTCTATAAAAGGACATTAGTACCATACTTTTAGCTTGCAGATGGATGAAGTGAAGTTTACCAGATAAGAGATTTTTTGAGATGCTGAATTCACTTGTTATTGAAGTTGTATTACGTACCGATATCTTTTTTATTATATGTTAGACTGAAATCTAATAGGGCTATTCGAAAGCTGTACGTATCCAAAATTGAAAAACCTGTAAATTCAAATTTTTCCAGTATTCCAATAGTGATATTTTTAGTTGCCTACTGTCCTACTTTTTTTTTAAAGTTTGTAGCGAGCCATCTTTAAATATTTTTATAAGTTCTTACCACTAAAAATGTTTGGAGATGGCTCACAACAAATTTGAGGAGAAGTGAAGATGATTTTTCAGAATAACGTACATGGAAAACTGTCAACATCGGGGGCGAATAACGAGAATCACGAACATATGAACCTCCTCGTCTCTCTTTGCTATAACGACTTCACTGATTTTCCATTTTTTCACTTTTACTTTTTAGATCTATTTAGTTTGATTGCATCAAGAACAGTTTTAATTTTCCGACCATATATTATTTCTGTTAGAGAAAGTAAATTTGACGCTCATAGATTTGAAATTTTTCAATAGAATAACAAATATTACCTGGGATTTCACTTATTTCTTTTCATGCAATTCGATTGAATTTCCACGCGTTCAAAGCTGGATCAGGAAAAGCATGGCTTAAACTACAATTAATGGAACATTTTCTTTACGCTCTCGACTGTTAGAGTCAATGATATTATAGGTAGCAATGCCAAGTTTGGACTTGATAGTTGAGGATTGGGTAGAGAGTTAATAGTAAATATGTATTTTGTTATATCTCAATGAGTAGATTAATTGTATTTCTCACGTTTTGTGACTTAATATACGCCACTTCTTCAGAGTAAATAAATAACCGAAATTAAACAAAACTTGGAGAAATTAACCGTATGGACCACATCTACTTGCTCCCATATAGTGTCATGTTTGAGGTTGATGAGGCGTTGAAGTCCTGTTGTTGCTATCTGTTTTGTCATTTTAAGATCTTGTCCGACAAATTATGGAACTGTGCATCGGTATATTCACAAGACAAATTCCGTCATTTAAATTGATTAGACGTTTTGTATTGGCTTTAAATCTTCCACTTTCTCTATGAACCTTACCGATGTATATATATTTTACAATCATCAGGAGAAGACCCCAACTTTTAAATGCATCAATAACACAAACATAACACCGAGTAGGTAGGCTCTAGTGGATTGTACCAATAACAAACTTGAGCGCTCCCCTTGTACCTTATGTATCACTAAACTGTGGGAATATTATTACTTAAAAAAACACAACTCTTTATTCAATTTAGAAGTATAGCGAGAAAGCAGTTAAGTGATATTTGATGATTATTCCAAAGATAATAGATTATTCAGTAAGGTTATTCAAACCACGTAGCAGTGTGAGTTAAAATGCAAATTTGAGAATTTTCTACTTCATCGATCAACAGCTTAAAATGCTTATTTCTAATTTAATCAGTAATTTCAAAAAAACAATAACTTGCAAAAATACGGTAGATTTGTTAATTTCTGCCTTAAAATGTCTAAAAAATCTAGGTTGAATAGAAATCGGTGGCCAACAAGTTATGTGTGTTGTGTTTAGAGATTGAACAGATCAAAACTCCACTACTACACAAGTCCGTACTATAATCTAAGCAACCAATTAGTACTGGTATTTTGTTTATCAATCCAATAACTGCCATCCATTCATCATAAAAAACAATATACTGTTAGAAAATAATCGTTATTACTACTTGTTAAGATATTTATATTTATTTATTTCCCAGTCATTTGAACCTGTTAAAAGTTCCGGCAATTCAAATTCATTTAAATATGTTTGGTCTATGCCGGAGAATATAGAATTCGTCACTACTTTATATCGAAATGAAAAAGCAATTCAATTTGAAGAAAAAGAATGGATATGTCAAATCGAAGATGTAATTAATATTTTCTTTATTATTTAAATAAACTATTTCACCATCTCAAGTAAATCACTCGTGACTAGCAGATCTGTCAGAAATCTAATTTTAGTATGCATGTGTTATGAAATCTGTTATATGATAATCTGATTATCGTCTTTATTAAATACCACTAAACTGATAGTTGGTGTTGTTATTCATAACATTTATATCCTGTTCCATGAATGTAGGGAGTTAAGCTTGTAAATTTGAGTGTACTAAACATTTTCGCTTTGTTCTTTTGTCCTATTTAAACTCGGATTTATTAAATTTGTTTATCTATTTATTTCCTGAAGAAGTGGCTTACCATGAGTCACAAAACGTCAGAAAATCTAATTCTTCTACTCACTAAGATATCACAAATATATCATTAATCGTATTATTAATTTGTGATTAAGTTGTAAGTTTAGTTCCTAGTTGAGTGAATCAAGAAAATGTGATAGGTTTGAAAGATTCCTGCTATCTAGGTTTTATTGTTTATGATCGCTAAGTAGCTATGTATATTTAGGTAAACAAGTATCCTTTGAGCTTTTTCAGTTGATTTGATTTGACGTATTCATCCTGATTTATCAACCTTACACACAATATGTGTAATTGAATTCAGTGTTCATAAAACGCTTGTAAATGTTTTGAAATTCCTGGTGTAAAAACCAATTACTATCAGCTGTGTAAATAAAATCTAAAATAATTCCTACTCCTGCTTGATGGCAACGTTTCCTCTTATGTATAATTTAATAATAAAAAATAAAGATACCTGTTCACTTTTGCCTTACCTAAGCTTATTCGTCATGTGATAAAATCTCATTACTAATTAATATCAACATCTTTATGATATTAATTTGCAGATAGAACTCAAACATTTACACTAGGCAGCTGTCCTTTTACTAATATTAAGTCTTTCACCTTTCCGACTAACTTTGTTAGTGTGTCTTACAACAGTTTGGCAACTCAGACATTTAAAAACATTAATGTGGAATCTTCAGTGATAACGACTGTCCATCAAAATACATATTTATTACGCTTATTTGTGACAATTCAAATTTGCCTGGTTTCAGTTTTCATTTTAATTGAAATAAAGCTTTTTGGCAACTTTTCATGAAGTCTTATCGATAAAAATTGGACATATATATTCACTAACAATCTATCAAACAGAGATCTTGTTTTCTTGATGTTCAAAATAAGAAGACAATTTATTTATCTATTATTTGGTCTTGAATTAAAAACAGTTTTAGGAAGTTTGGATAAGTCAGTCAGCTACAACGTAGGATTAGGCACATATGTGCATCGGTCCAGGTTGCCATACCGCATCAGCACAACAAGATGAACACCGGATTCATAGCAGTGGTTATGTCAAAGGTGGTAATATATAAGAGAAAGATTGCATATAGAGATATAATACAAGAAGAAAGAATTGGTTCGTAGAAAGAAAGATATGAAGCGATTTTAATATCTTAGTTTAAGGGAAGACAAGGAGTGTATACACCTACGCCATTGTGATCGATTCTGAGCCATGTCACCAAGAGTCCCCAACCATTGGTTACGATAGTCACACGGACCCCAACCAAGTAGTCTGCATCTACCAACATGGCTCAGACTACAAGTTAGTGACTTCAAGCACTGATGTCACGTTTTGGTTTGGCCGCCCCTAACTTTCTTTCAACCATCTCCAATACCGGATAGCATTGCACGTCGTGGTAATCGGTGTTCAGGCATACGTAACACGTGGCCCAACCATCTCAGTCGATGAAGATTTATAACCTCATCAACTGATTTACCATCATTCCCTAATACCCTGCGTCTAACCTCACTAATACTTACCCGGTGATCCCAGCAGACGCCAGCAATATTTCTAAGGCATCTGTGGTCAAATACTAGTAGCTTACGAGTGTCTTCTACTCTTAATGGCCATGTTTCGCTGCCGTAAATTAAAACAGAACGGACTGCCGCGCAGTATACTCGTCCTTTTATTGATAGACGGATATCTCGCCTTCGTCAAAGGTGACGTAAGTTGGCAAAAGCCAAACGAGCTTTTCGAATCCGTGCTGAGATTTCGTCCGATACCAACACTGCTTCTTATTAGTTTTATTTCTTCGAAAGGGGTATTTAGGTAGTAAAAATCTTCCGAAACTATCAGATATAATTGAAACTCGTAAAATGCACTACAGTGATGTTCGTGATCAGTGTTTTCAGCTTTGGATTTATGTAACGTTACGGTGTTTATTCCATTAGGTGTACATTTTCGTTTTATTCTGATTTCGTTTTCAGGTTGGGGCTAAAACTTCAGGTTTACTTTCGGCATCTACACCATCGGTTAGACGACGTGTACTTGCCACCAGACAAATCGATATAGCCGAATTCGTCTCAGATTTACCCGTGCAAACAAATCTCAAAGTAGTCATGCGTCTCGCTTCTAAAAAGTTAATATCTGCTACAGTTCTCCTTACGTTAAATTCCGTTATTGTAAAAGCTGGAGAAGCCACGTTAGTTGTTTTTTAAATTTAATATGCATGTTGTTGTTTTATTCATAAGATTATAAGTAAGTGAGATTTTATTCTACTAAAATTAGTTGTTAAATCACTTGAGTCACTGCTTTTTAAAGCTGTTAACCAATCGCTAATGTTTATTTCAGAATATATAAATATTTTACATTGTCAATGTATTATGAAACATCATTTTACGCAACCGATAATGTAAAACGATATATCCGAATATTATTAATGGAATGTAATATCTCACACCGTAGTGAGCTGAGTATAAAACGAAGTCCTAAATTTTCTTAATGAATGGATGGATCATCAGTTGATCTGAGGTAGGCAAGCTTTAAAAACCAAAAAGGATTGAGCAGCTGTTTCACCCAAGCATAATAATTCTCAGTCAACTGGGTTTCGAACTCTAGACTTTCAGATCTCAGGACAGCCTCTTAAACTTTAAACTACTGGCCGCAAATTTATCAAATTTTAACATGTAAACCACTGGAGGATAATGATAGGCTAACATTATTAATTTGAAAACCATTGTGTTTAAAATTAGTAGTGTATTCCCTAAAGGATCTTCAAGATATTTAACTGACTTGTGTGGTTTTTTTGGGTGCAGTTCAACATTGCCAAAGCCTCAAAAGTTCATTATTTTGACCCTAAAGTGATTTGGAACATTATATGTTGGAAGTCATATGGGTCTTGATTGTCCTTGGCTTTATTTAAACTGAGATCTTTGTACTGGGTATTTGTTACAAATGAAGATGTGATTCTGTCAGTTTTAAACGTTGAACTTAAGCTAGAACATAATATTCTGATTGTTCCTACTCGTACCTTTCATCTCAATATGTTGGTTGGACTTGTCTATCGTAACGACGCAATCAAACCATATCAGCTAGAACGTATGTTCTTTGAGACTACCAATTCAGGCTCGTATGTCGGATGGTGGCAAAACTGAAGGGAGAAAATTTGAGTTCCTAGGGCGAAGTCGTATTTTGGTGCGTGCTACTTATATTGACATAAGTAGTATATAACACGAGTCAGGAATGTAATGTCTGGTAGCAGAATATTGGGAAGATCAAGGAAGGAAGAACGGGAATAGAAAGCAATTAGTATGGAAATGCAAGAACAATGAAGTCTGACACAATTATTGAACATTTTGCAAATTAGGTATTATAGTATGGTTATTCTATTTTACCAAGTAACTCTGTAATGTTGTGTTAAATATAATTCGGTCCTCAACTATGTACTCCTTCACTACAGTATTATCAATTTTAATGGGATATAATTACAATATGATTTTTCCGAGAGATTGCTATCATCTCCAGTTATGCTGCCTTCTCATACCGCATGTTAGGGGCTAGAGATGGTCGACCCCATAAACCATTTCTTGCTTTCTCTTAAGGATTTTCGATGCACGTGGCAACATTTGAAGATGTAGTTAATACATAAAATAGTTGTCCATTGGGTTCCGCGATCACGCTCTCAGGTCGTCAATCCTACTGTCAATTCAGCTTCCTCCTCCATTGTTTCCGGGTAAATATCCTTCCACTGTATCGGGAGTCGGAAATATACAACCGTTTTCTTGCCTTTAATGGCCTTTGAGATTTTGTTTACACTCGAATCCTTTCTTCGCTTCCTAACATTTCCTCTTTTTCTACTATCATTTACTATCTGTCACTAGTATTAACGTTTCAAACTTACGAAATTCTGTCCGAATTTTAATGAAACCAAAAGGCTTCTTTGAGTATGTTTGAAACCTACTACCATCGATCTATAGTGCTTTTAAAACACACATACAGGATCATAGCATGGTAATTCACTTGGCTTTACCTAGTTTATAAGGTTATCCAGCCCGATTTACCTGTTGTATGTCTGAAAATTATCCCGGTCTATAGGAATGAACCAAAATTTTCTTGCGGTAACTACATATTTATCATTGACAAATATAGTGTGTAAAATGTCACTTATTGCTACCACAGAACGTTTAACCTAAAGATTGTGCACAGGAAACTCGTAGAAATCAGACTGGTTTCAGATGTGGACTTAAATACACCGATCCAATTTTCACTTTTTTGTAAGGTTCTTCAACAACGACATAGTTTTGTGGTTCGCACCACGAGTTAATCTTAGACAATGTTAGAAGACCAGAAAGCACTGGATAGCCCTTTTGTCTTAGAGCAGGACTCCTCGACAGTGCACATCCATAACCCAACTGAGGATCGAACCCTGGTTTTTCAGGTCTCGTGGATGTTCTAGTTCTCCCTGGTTTTTAGATGTTGTCTGAGATTAATCCCAGCTGTAAACTATGTAATCCAATAATCTTTGAAACATCCTGTAACAAGAAACAAGCAAAGTTACTGACGCCCAACAACGGTGGTGTTTCTTGACTTTTAGATGGCATTCGACTCTTGCACAGTCGACATTTTTAAATAAAATTCTATTTATTCCCCCCTTAGGAACGAATCTCGTTTTTGTTATTTTCATATCAAGTCAACAACAGACGATGGACTGTCTAAAGTCTAACCTCTGGTTCACTTTATCATTAGCCCAAATGAAAAAATTCAGGACTCGTGACAAGTTTGTTGTACATAAACCTTCATCTTACAAGTCATAAATTCATTCATCAGACTTATTATTAGCCTCAGAAGATTCTTTTTTTTTCGTTTCTTCTGCAACAATATTCATAACAGGCTGCTTATCAGTTTCTTGTTGAAAATCCATTTGTTAACTATCTCCACTAATTTTTTGTGCAACATTTGTTTTAAGATCTAAAAGTTCTGAGCAGAATCTTCCATTGAATCAGATAGTTTCTTGATATATCAAATCAATTATATCGTCACATTATTTTTGTTAGATTTCCTTAGCTTTTGTGAATTTGTGATGGTATGTACCCTAATTTCACATAAAATCGAGAGTTGTTCTCAATAGATGTTATTAAGAATTATCGAATTCGTTTGTATATAAAGCCATCTTTCTTTTATATCTACTGATCCTTTCTTTTATTTCACTCTTTTTCAGTGATGAAGATATGATATCCATAGCATCACTCATGTCATTAAGTCGTACTGGAAGTTTTAACGTTGGCAGTGGAGTAACTATTAATGATCTAGGTGGTGTCGCAGCATTTTCACCAACAACAGCGAGGGTCTCTAACGTGGATGATTTTAATTCACATTCCTTTTCAAATAGTACTTTTCATACTGATCTTAGTGAATTAACTGCTAAACTACAATCTTTGGAACGACGTCAAATAGATCCCCTTGTAGAATCTCCTATAAAAGCAAACGGAAATTTTTCAGATTATTCTTCAGAATTAGATAATTCCAAAATAACTCTAAATAGTTCGAAGACCCAAGGTAATATGTACATATAGTTATTCTTTTTACAGTTTCAAGCTTGACCGTTACGTTGTGTTAGTTGTTGAAGTAACAGTAGCTGAGTTATCTAGAGTAAATCTGATATGTGGTCTCTAGATGCATGTACATACAGATAACATCAGAGTTCATAAGATGACCAGATTTTGTTCAATATTTTAACTATTACTTGGCATATCAGGTGATTATAAAGCTACAACTCAGTTGACTATTATCGTATGTATATTTTCCTTTTGATTGGAGGATATATTTCCATTCATTTCGTTGTCATACCATGATCTCTAGAATTTTTATTCATTCACTAGTTACGAAACGTGGATCTCGTTTCACCATTCTCATACGATTGGCTGTATGGTTAACCTGTACACATTTGATGTAACTCCTGACGTAGTATTTGTATAACGCAAACAAATAAAAGTAAATATTCACAAAAATTTATCAATTTAGAGTTTCATACTTCACTACAGCGTAGGTTACAGCTGTAGGTAACACCAGACAGCTCTTCATACTCATAAAAGAGACTGGAACTAAAAAGTCAAGTGTAAGTGAGACTATCTCGGAAAAAGACGACCGTTTTATCTGCTCCCAGCCCAGGCGTTCAGAACGATGGGCGGAACACTTTAAGGAGCAGTTCAGCTGGCCTTCATCTACTCTACAAATACTCACCATTTCCAGACAGCGTGAGTAGAACATTGGAGTAGGTCCCCCGACTCTAGCTGAAGTTCACAAGTCTATAACTAATCTGAAACGAGGTAGGGCAGAGCTGGTCCAGGTGGATTGGCTCCAGAGGTCTGTAAGTATGGTGGTCCAATTTTAGCGATTAGGTTGACTAATATTTTAGCTAAAATCTGGGGATTGGACGTAATCCCATCTGACTGGTCGCAATCGCTCATTGTCCCGATATATAAGAAGGCATCAAAATCGTCCTGTGTCAACCATAGAGGGATAAGTTTAACTAATATAGTATCTAAAATACTAGCCTCGATAATTATCAGACGCCTAACTTAGACTCGTGAACTGCAAACACGAGAGAATCAAGCTGGCTTCAGACCTGGTCGTGGCTGCATTGACCACATATTCACCATTCGTCAGGTTCTAGAACACAGGCATACTTATCGGCGCCCGACAATGGTGGTATTTCTTGAACTAAAAGCAGTATTCCACTCTGTAGACCAACAGGTTCTGTGGCAGTGTCTGTCATTGAAAGGCGTACCTCAGAAGTACATAAACCTATCTTTTACCAACTTGCGTCATTTATGGCGTAGGCGAGATATCCGTCTATCAACCAAAGGACGTGTTTACTGCGCAGCAGTCCGTTCCGTCCTACTTTATGGCAGTAAAACATGGCCGGTAAGAGTAGAGGATATCCGTAGGTTACTAGTATTTGATCATAGGTGTCTTCGAAATATTGCTCGTATATCGTGGGACCATCGAGTAAGTAATGCAGTTGTTAGGAAACGGGTACTATGTAAGGATGGCAAATCAATTGATGACGTAGTGAAACTTGATCAGTTGAGATGGCTGGGACATGTGTTACGTATGCCCAACCACCGACTGCCCCGATGTGCGATGTTTTATGGTGTAGGAGTAGGTTGGGAGAAAGCTAGGGGTGGCGAGACCAAAACATGGCACAAGTCCATGAAGTCACTGACAAGTGGACTGAGTCATGTTGGTAGGTGTAGACTACCTGGTTGGGGACCGCGAGATGATAGCAACCGATGGTTAGAGACCCTGAATGACATGGCTCAAAATCGTTTGCAATGGCGCAGGTGCATAAACTCTTTGTGTTCTCCCAAATTCTAATCTTCTGAATTCTTCATGTCCTTTTGTTTTTTCTCTTTCCAAATTTATTTCACTGTATTATGCTCTTTAAATAACATCTTCAAACCCTAATTTTTCTGATTACAGCTTGTAATTTTGCTACATCTAGCACTACGGGATTTGAATCGACCACTGCATCTCTGTGCTAATGTGGTATGGCAACTCGAACTGATGTACGTACGTACGAAGTTCTACGTTGTTACTGACTGACTGACATACACCTTGTGAAGGCTCTTTACTGGAATTTGGTGTTCATCATGCTGTGCTAATGAGGTGTGGCAACTTGGAGTGATGCACATATGTGCCTGGTCCTACGTTGTTACTAACTGACTTACTGACTTATACCTGTCGACGTCAGTAGCCCACACCACAATGATACCTAGTTTGTCCACTGATATTTATCAGCATATTTACAAAAAATTAATAATAATGACAGATATACTTGGTAGATCCCATTCGTTATTGTAACTCATCCTAAAAAATATCTTTGTTATTTATTTAAACACATAAACATTGGTACAAATAGGCACCAAATAGATGTACGCCACATAAATCATTCGGTTTGTGTGAAGGGTGGGGTACTGCCCGGGTGCCCAGACCGAAGCAGGTGGTTTTCTTAAGGGGCCACACCCCGAGCCTTTGACCTAAAGGTCTGATCCAGAAGGCAGTGGAGCATCGTGAGGTGATGCAGTCCCATGGTAGCCGGTGACCAACGATTGGTTCATACGCCATTTGTTCCCTCAGGATCCTGTAGCCCATGTGCATCATTGTTTTGGAATCCGGTTAAAGCGCCGGACATTCGCTTTTCGTCCTCTCAATTTTGTAAACAACACCCGTGGTGCGAGAAGGCAGTGAGTTGGACTTCCCTGGTAGAGGCTATATACACGTGGCCATGTGAGAGCATTTTGAGAGGGAGAGCGGACTCTCCCCACTCTCGGCCGTACCAGGGCACTTGGGGGCATTTCTCTTTAAAGTCATCTTTATTCACCTTAAAACAAATGAAATAATATATTGTTCGTAAGATCAATTTTTCCTATAAAGCATTGCCTTACTTTAAATTAGGAAAGGAACTTGGAACATTTTCAGTTAAACTGCAGAATTATATAATTCCAAAACTTAAACCATAATAGGTTTAATGTCTGCATCTTATATCGGTGATGAGTTTTTGGAATTATTTTACTCCGTAGTGTAATCATTAGCCAGTACAAAAGACATATATCAACGTCCTTTTTACCGAAGAAATATATATGATATCGGTTTAATAGATTTTTGATTCATATGTTAGTGGTTTTTATTTACAAACACTATCAACTCAGAATTAATAAAAACTTCATATTTCAAAACAGTGCACATGAAATCAAGTCTGAGCTTTGTATTAACAGTGTTTACCCATGTTTTGTTTTATCATTTGGTGTTTGTAACACAACTCATTTCATCTTACAATGAGACTTATCATCAGTTATTTACCTTAGTCGATTCGATTGTGATATTACTTTAAAAGCTGACTTTTCAAGAGAACTGAATATTATTATTATTAAGATGTTCTATGTAATAGAGGGAAGTTGTTACTTAATATATATTTTTAGAAAGTATTGTTTATAAATTCACAGCTAACATTGAATATTTATGATAGTTCAATTTTTCATTTTCAAGATTCACTCTCATCTACGGTTGATGATATGTTGACAAAACCACTTATTCCTACTTTTGATAAAATAATTCCTAATTCAACTGAGTAAGTAGTGATTTGTTTTACTGTTGTCGCATTAATTAAGAGTAAATATAGTTTTAAAAAATTATCATTTATCAATGTAGATTTATATAATTCTTTTTAGGTATCAATCATAAAATTAAGTCGAATAATATTTGGGATATCAGCTAATTTGTTAATAATTTACTTATTCTTAGAATCTATGTATATTGTTAACTTCTTAAAATTCATTCAATAGTAACCAAAAACATCAATACTTAGAACGTGATTTAATCGTTTTCATTACTATTAAATATTGAAATTTTATTTTTAACATCAAATCATTGGATAATTTGTGCATTTTTTCTCAAATTGTTCTAATATAAAGTTAATATTAAAGAAACCAACTTTGAAAATGTTGGTAATGTTCGATACCCAGAACTCACCTGGAAAAGGATCTAATTTTGTAATTTTATTTAGAAATTTCTTTGTTTTCGTGTCAAAAGCGCTCTTTTCACCTTTATGTCGTATTTCTCACATTTGGGAGAATCTTAAACGCTATTGGTCCGTTGTGTCTTTTAGTATGCAATTTTGTAACGCTTCCCAAGGACAATTTGATGCTGTGGGTATACGTTTTGATTTATGTCTGTTGTTATCGCTCGTGCTTCTGGCTTTTTGGGGAATATACTTTCCCGTTCGGAATTCGACTTCTCTTTCTAGTTAGCGGGGCTGAGACGCAATAGAATAGCTAGTTTATTGGTCTTTGGTCACAAGTCTTTGTTCCGTTCGCAGTCTAAGTGAACTCGTAACTGCTTCAAACCTAGCAGAAAATTATGATTGTTTTAAAGTTTCAGAATCCTAACGTAGGACAAATATCTGTTGGTAATGATTAAATTAGTTGTTGTGGAATTCATGATATGATGAGAATGTTAGTCAAAATTTATTTTGTTTGTTTTAGGTTGTTTTTAAGTACCAAAGACTTGTAATCAAATGTGTGAGTCGAATGTAGATTTTTACACAACAAATATTAATGAATTACTCCACAATTCGCGTTTCCAGATTATTCTGGTGATATAAGTTAACTTGTAACTTAATTGATTGGCTAGGATAGCGTTCATAATTTAGTTACAGTCCATTTAACTCTTGTCACTAATGTAAATCCCATGAATTTGTTGTTTACACATGCGATTTGCTTTCTACTATAATGTAGGATGTAAATCAAATAGTTTTAATGTGATTTAGAAACATAATGTTAGTTTTTAAAATGTAAAAATACTTCTGAAACCATATATTCATTGTTAAGTAGTTTAAAAGCTTAGTTGTCTTTACGAAGAGTGTTCGTACATACTAGTGTTAACTGATGAAACTTTCAAGTTTTCTAAAATTCTGTGGAGAAACAATAACCATTGTTAAGTGTGTTATATGGTGTGTACCAAACGTATCAGTGACCTTTGCATTTACTATTAACTCGTGTATCTATTCACTCTTCTGTACATTAATATATGACTTTGAGCGATCAACATACTAGCCATTGGGCTGAATTAATCCACGGTGACTTTCTGATTTTCAAGTTTGTTATGATTAAGTCTCGTAGTGCTTTATATTTCCACCACCCGAAATCAAAATCAGCAGTTTTATGTTATATAGATAAACGCAAATAGAATTAAATAACAGAAAAACGTTTAAACTATACAATAAGTAAACTGGTTATTCGTATAATTTACACAGTTCTGGAAGCTTGTGAAGATTACGTCATAATTAACAAGAATGCAGGTCGTTGATAAATAATTTATATTAAAAAATAACATAGATGCATTATCGTATAGATTATTCTAGTGATTTTCTACAACTGTTAATTACCAGAGAGCAATTTAAATAATTTTAAAACTGTTTAGGATTTTTAGGAACATTTACTGACGTCTTCCTAGTGTGTGTGCTACTGATGTCGATAGATATGAGTAGTATGTGCCATAATCGAAAGTGAAATACCTGGTGGCAGAAGGTTAAGAAGATCGTATAAAAGAGAACGAGAACAGAGAATGATCGATGTAGAGTCGTAGGAACAATGAAGTCTGAGACAATTGATTGAAATTTTGCAAATGAAGTGTTGGCTGTATGGTTCTCAGATTTTACTATGAGGTGTCTTAAAATAATCGCAGTATGCTTATACAAATTTAATTTCTTTACTTCTTCTTCTGCATCATGTGTATATGGTATTTTATAGAGCTTTGTTAATCGATCTATTTGTTCAATAAATAAATGTCATCGTTGACTGTTCACAGTATGTTCTAATATAGTTTATAATTACTTTTATTTGCCTATTTTGCATCAGATTAAAGCCTATTTCAACTCAAAGTCGATATGATTTACTTCTATGGTGTCAGTTGGTGACTAAATCTTATGACAATATACAGATAGTTGATCTTACTACATCATTCCAGAATGGATTAGCTTTCTGTGCTATCCTGCATCATTTTTTTCCCGATCGAATGTAAGTTCGCCTTTTGTTATTTTTAATTACCGTGTAAACTCAGGTTACGGAATCAGTGATTTCTTGTAAATGTTAAAACATATTTCTCCCATTTTTGTCGATATTCTTACTTATTGAACAAATGTTGAAATCAATACTTATGTCCTTGAATAATATAAATGAATAGTCTTCAGAGGATCGAGCATATAACTACTGGGTTCCTTGTTGTTACCTTTGTTACCTTTTAGATTAGTAGACAAGATTCAGTTAGCGTATATAATTTGTTTTATTTATTCTTGTTACACTATTGTTTATAATAAATTCATAGGTGATTACTGCTTAGTAGGTTTTAGGTATAGATTTAATTGGTTATATTACATTGTTTTAGTTTATTTTTATTCATTTGTATAATTCATTGAAACCTATGATTTTATGAATCATAATTTACCTTGTGTATCCAATCACTCCCTAACTTTAAAATACCTATTCAGAATACTTCACTCCGTAATAACGCGTCAAACTACTTGCCTGAGTCATTGAAAATGGAATCTAAATTCAAATCTTTTACTCATTGTTTAGCTCACACGTTGAAGGTGTACTGTATGATCTACAACAGGATATATTCTACTGTTGACGTATTTATATAATTAGAGAGTTTTGTAATTTATTGTCAAATAAACAACCATTCATTTATCTATATGTAACTTGTTAATATTCCGTGCTGTAATCATAGTGCCATACAACCTAGTTTACACTATGAGGAGCAGTCTTCATTGAATAAACCTACAAGGCAAAAGTGCTCGATTCTGTTTAAATGTTAATTCACGTTTTAAAAAACCATTCTGATCTACAAAACCTACGGCATTATTTCGCGAAGATAGTTTTTGAATTTTTGGAAAATACCTTGGTTTCGTCTACTTCAACAGTTGGAATAGAAATAAATACCTAAAATAGCTGGTATGAAAGCCAAGACTACTAAGTAATAGGATAGGCTTTACATCCAATAAAACAGTATACTTATATTTCATTAGAAATCGACGAAGTAGTGTTCTTGAAGATGAATTTTTTTAACCCGATCTTTTCAACTAATACAGATTCCCAATAATTCTCAAACATCTCTCCCTCTGAACAGTTACATAATACTTCCTTGAATTTTATTTATTGCATTGTAACGAATATTTTTTCAATTTAAAAATACTTTTCAAGTGATTACGACTCATTGTCGTCGGAGAACCCTCTACAAAATTGTCGCCTGGCATTCGATGTGGCTTCTAAATTGGGAGTACCCCGTGTACTTGATCCAAGTGAAGTAGTTTCTAAAAGTCGTTCACCTGATTTGCTCAGTATGATGACATACCTCCATCAAATCCGTACTTTTTGCTGTGAACGAACAAAAAATAATTATGAGAACTCTCCATGTACAAATGATAACTTAGTATTAAATGGGATCTTTGAACAATGTATCAAAACCAACAAGTCTGTTTCTGTTGTAAAGAGTTCAGTTTTCGGTTTTTATATATATACATATTTATATCTTCAGTTTAAAAGTTATGTAAATTATTACATTTTCCAAATGTTTAGTATTTTAGTCAGTATCAATACATAAATGGATCATCTGAGAGGATTTATGGGTTTGTGATCATCATTGTCGTTTTTTGAACAAATCTTTCGGTAGTCAAATGTGTAATGCAGTACTACAAAACTTTTTTGATAAGCCGTAAATGGTCAGGAATATGAAGTGTAAAATTGTAGATTTTTAAACATGTGCTGGTCAGTCAGTCATGTGCAACTTTGAACCTGGTATATATTCCCATCAGTTCAAATTATAATGCTGCATTAGCACAGAGAAATGCAATTAACAAGTGAAATCTCGGAATAGTATAGATAGTAACGTTATGATTAGTAGCGGGGAAGATTAGATATAAAAGAAGATAGTGTTTCCACCCTTGGGATCTGAAAGACAACAAAGAATGAAATGGTTTATGCCATTGTGACCGATTCTGATCGTTGTCACCCATTGTTTTTAACTAAAGGTTGTGATAACTTCATAGACCCCAACCAAAGTGGTTTGACTTGCTTATCTTGCTCAGTCTAATGTGTCTCGACCACCTTAGTTGGTGAAGATTCACTATTTCATCAACCAGTCTGTCATTTTTATCTAACATTCTATGTCTGTTCTTAGCACTACCCACTCGATCTTCCCGACATAAAAAACCAGTGCTACGATGACATATCCAACTAAATACTGTCAATTTACAAATAATCATTGTTCTTAATAGTTGTTCTTTGCAGCCATAAAGTGGAACAGAGTAAATTGATTTTTAGTAAACTCTTTGATTTGCAAATGGATGTGTAATATCCCTTTTATCCGCAGATGTCATATGATAAGTCTTTCTCTCTCATCCTATTTCAATGCTGAATATCTTTCTGACATAATTTTAAGTGTTCAGAGTCAATTGGTTGCAATAAAGGAGTGACCTTATAGCATGTATTCATGCACATACGAGGCATTTGTATTTTTAAACTTCTACATGAAATATCTAGTACTGCGCGTAAAAACTGTTAATGTACACGTTTCATGCAATTGACTTCCTTTATGAATTTTAATGATATATATATATAATTTTAAACAGCTGGTGCGAAACCACGATTGAATCTATATTATTATACCTCGATTGTTGTTCTGGTTTTATTTAGACAAGGTGCTTATTTCCCTATATGATCATTATATATATTTATTACATATTATATATTCACCATTTTTTTCTTTACTTCGCCTATTTTAGCTCAGAAACGAATCATAGTTTGCAGAAAATTGAAAATCCGCCGGATGAAAACTCAAACAATGCTAAAAATAATTTAACTAATCCAGATAAAGCTGTTAGATCAACACCTAAAAAGGTAGTTTCGTACAAATTTGTGTTTCATTACCTGTCGTTTGTCATTATTTTTTTTTTTAAAATTAATATTTCCACACCTAAAACTAGTTTAATAAGAACATAGACGTATCGGGTGTAGTTTTTAATATTATTTCTGTTTGATTGCTGTATTTATATGTGTCAGTATTCGGTACTGTAGGCAACTGCCTAATCGGTAAACGGACAAATAACCAACAACATTTTTGTTATTATCACTAACTTGATTTGTGTGACTATGCTGATTACATAGTGAGCAAGGTTCTCTCACAGTTCTAGGTTCCAATGGTTAGTGTGACCTACCTTTCTGAAGATGACGAGTGATTATCATATTGAAATTAGAAAACTACTTTCTTCATGACTTAGTTTTTATGTACTGCTTATGAATAATGTATAATCATATAATCTGGTTTGTAGTTATTAACGGCTCATAATTAAAAGAATATCAAGTCTATGATGAAAAAAAAGAATTACAATTTAAATGGCTTATTCATTACGTGATCTATTAAACCCTGACGAATTTTTAGCGTCGATTCAAACCATCACTCTTACCTTTCTCATTATACAAACATCAATTCGCTAAATAATGACAGCCGGAAAAAATGTAAACGTTTACGAAACGGAACAGACACACGTGTTATATCAGAATATCATATTGTTTTCACTCGGTCTTTTAGACACACTTCCAGAACGATTTTGAATAGTTACTTGTATTTTATTAGTATCCTTATTTAAACACTTTTTAAAACATATCAATCACATATAATTGTTTTTTTTTTAATCGTGGCTTGATATATATATTCAATACCTCCTAATGATTAAATCACCCATATTTACTTGGTTTTGAAGTTAATGTGTTTATGTTTGAGTTTTTTTTTATGAAACGACTGTTTACAATCTAATTTCGATACATCCTATCATTTTCAGTTTTATATCTTAGAAAACACTTGTCGTAGCCTTTTGCCGCCTAAAAATATGAGTTTCGTATGTCCAATGTGAATAAATTGATTTTGATACTATTCAACTTGAGTTTGTTTATGGATAATAAACGTTATAGTTCAAATGGTTATTTGCTAAAATACATGTGCAAATGATCATAGTAAAACATTTAAACTATTATGATAGAACAACAATTAAAGTATGACTAGAAAATTCTTCAGACTTATAAGAGTAATGACTATTAAAATGTCAGCTATCTCTCACAAAGACGAGATAGTTTTATACTCTAAGTTCAGATGATGGACAGAATATTTCAAAGGACTTTATCCGGTTCCGAGTTACCATTATTTCCAAATAACCTGAATGAAGGTCGATATTAACTCCCCAATCCATCACTTGATGAGTTTAAAAAGGCTATATTAATGCTATTTAAGTACTGTAGGACCTGATAGACTAGTTCAGAAATCCCTTAAGGATGATGATTCAGTTTTGGCAATTGTACTGATTGCGATATTGACTGGAGTCTGATAACCGGACATGATCTTAATTAACTGATGTCAAACTCTGCAAGGAATAACCTAGGTTCTTTTGTGATACCTACTGATGAAACACTGACTAGTACTATTTTTTAATACACTAACCTTCGTAATCATTGTACACTTAATTAGGGCTTGGAGAAAGTATTTATAAGAAAGGAAAGAATTGAGCGAAGAAATTTCTTTTCAATTAGTTTTTCATCATGGTTCTACACTAATATATATATATATATATATATATATATATATATATATATATATGACTTACAATAATGATATAATACTCATCGAGTGGATACGTTACGTAATAGTTACATAATGACATTTATATTAACATTGAGTAGTTGGAAGAAAGAGGATTATTAATATTCAAAGTGATTAATAAATCAAGAAGTTACTACGTTGTGTAATATATGAAAAGAGAAGGAACAGAATTTTTTAATGGATGGTCAATAGGATAGTAGTTACGTAAGAATCAAGAGATGAATGTTGAGAAGTTATAAAGTTCAAAGGCAACAGAAACAAAATTACAAAAGTTTAAAAAAAAAAACAAGTGGAAGAAGTATGAAAAATAGTTCTTTTGAAGGAAATCTTATACTGATGGCCAGGGCAGAGAAAGTGGTTGTGCGAATCTTTTTTGAATGCAAAGGTCAGGTTTGTGAACATGGATTGCGATGGCTTCCGCAATGTGCAAGAGACGCACTCGTAAACCATGTGGCAAATTTGATGGGATATTGTAGATAACCTTAAAGGCTTTATTCAATTCAACTTGATGACCTGTGTCAACCAAGTGAGAGAGAATAGAACTTTTAATCACTTTTATCTGTCCTTTGCTTAACCATGACGGATGATGTTCTGTAATACGATGACGGACTTGCCGAATTGTACGCCCTATATAACTGGCTCCACAGGAGCAGTTGAAACGAACCATCCATTAAAAAATTCTGTTCCTTCTCTTTTCATATATTACGCAGCCTATTTATTCTGGCCAATCAGTATCCAGATTTGTCATCGGCGTCCTTGGGAGTCATTGGTTGTTAATTGATCAAAGTATTTCACATTACCCTACTGATTCACAAAATGACTATCCTTCCCGATCAATTGCAGCTACTACTTGATCGCCAGCAGCAGCGTTTCAGAGAGAGCCGGTTGGATGTTTTAGACTATTTACGCACGCGACTGCTAAGTCTTCAATGTTTCGGAGATGTGAAAGAAATTGATGAATTAATTTCTCACTTGCATACTGAACTCGAAAATGACTGCAGGACGTATGAATATGAAAAGAAAAGCCTCTATGAATCCCTGATGATCAGTAGTGCAAACGAGGCAGTCGCTCATGATCCGTCCAGCGATTCAGAAATGTCCAGTTCAGAAGCATGCCCTGTCGTGGGTTCAAATCCCACTGTGCCCGAAACATGTTCAGACAGTGAGGCATCCAGCTTACAAGAAGAACACCTCGTGCCAGAAAATGTGTCCCGTGCATCAAATAATGGTCAGAAATCTAATACGAATTTCAAAGATGCTGTTTATTTTAGTGACCTATTACCCACTGATGGAATTTTGAAGAGGTCTGAAGAATATGTTTCACAAGAATCAAACCTTAATGACCTCATGTCTGGTGTTGCTAATCCTCATCATCTAGTCAGTCTTAGTGAACCCTCTACTCAATGCGCGAAATATGCTTTAAATAGAGTCAGACTAACTGTTACTTGGGTATATGAGGACCCAACGTTATTTCGCGGGGGAGGATGGACGCAGAAAATCTTAGCAATCCGGATATCAACTCCGGAATTTCGAAAAAAAGGGGAGGTGTTAGGTATGCAGAGGAATGTACCAATAATTATCATAACCGTACAATCTACACGTTACAACATATATATATATTAGTGTAGAACCATGATGAAAAACTAATTGAAAAGAAACTTCTTCGCTCAATTTGTTCCTTTTTTAATTACCAAATGGCAAAATGGGAATTTTCACTATATTGAAAGTATTTATATTTTAAATGTTGACGTGAATATTTTGATCAAATATTCACTCTCCCTTAAGTTTTAGAATATAGGTTTATCTACTAACCCGCTATCATAGCTGTATATCTTGATTTTAAAGTGATACTCGACTCGGTAGGTTTTCGTTGACAGGCGTACCAATCAAGTACACAAATCTTGTGAGTGTTCTCTACTTATGCACTACTGGTCGAATCTTAGTTTATTATGTCTTGTCATGGATTTCAAGCTAGATTGATGTGATTCAGGGTTGCCCACTTTGCTCTTTCCTACTTAAATTTTTTTATTGATGTCTTCTTAGAAGTTATACTTATTTCATCTAACTTTTAAGGGATAGATCTCCATTCTAAAAAGTTACTAGCGGTCTGAGATTATGTGGATTATAGATTCTGTGCCTGATTCAATGTTGCTTATTACTGCCTGACTGCAGTTTCTGTATGGATGTGTATAAGTTGTCTAATGATCTTTTCTTATTTTCTATCTTATCTGTGCCTTGGCAATTACTTTTCTGGTTTTCTTTTCGCAAGATTTCTTTTACCCTATGCAGTGTTTGAGAATCAATAAATTGGATTATTCAGAATAATTTACATAGATTTTACTTCATGTCAATAAAGCGAGGTTCAAAACTTTGGTTGATTTAACTTCCGTAACCATTAATTCATCATTTTACTTAGACATTCTTCAGGTAGACAGATAACTTTACATATCAATTTATCTCTGTGCCATGGTAAATTAACTTAGACTTATAATATCACAATTAACAAACAAACTGAAAATCATTTTCCCGTGGAAAGTTTATCATATGTACCTTTGTGATAAATATCATGAAAGTAAATAAACTGAGTATTTAGTTATTGATTATACGATTATATGTAGGTAAGGTTTTGTCTTCCAATGATTAAGAAATTAAAGCCTTGGAAAGTGTTTCAGTTCGACCGATAAATTTTAGTGCTTCATTCATCAATCTACCTTTTTCAATTTTTCATTGTGCTTTCAATCATCTATAAATGAAAACTTGTTGGGAATTATTTTCTATTATATAAGGCATTTACGTATCAAAACTATATGTTTCTACACACAAATTTTTCTTATTTATAATTAAATGTAATACTAATAACTCTGCTTTACTAATTTTTAAAAAATACTCTATTCACTGTCTTCCACTATTTTTTTTCAAGAAAATTCCTTTAATGAATTATGAACACATGTTGGCTAAAGCACGTAGTCTCTTGCAACAATCACGTCTAAATTACTTAGCACCAACAAGTCGACCTGGTGCTTTACCGCCTTTAGCGCATCCTCGTAAACCACATCCTATATCTGGTTCATTGACAGCAATTCATTCAGTAGATGAAAGTTTTAACCGAAATCCAGTGACAGAAGAAAGTTTAACGAATATTACATTAACTGATGGACAAAATCATCGATTGACTGATACAAAGTTATGTACAAGTAAGGTTTAATTTATGTTAAATAATTTTCCTCGTTCTTCTGTAGTGTCTCACGTTTATCATGTACACGTTTCTGTACTTGACTTTCAGTTACTCTTGTTGTGTGAGGGGCTTTCATATTATTTGATTAAGTAAACGAGAAATTATAACAAAACCAGTTTCAGACTTGAGTGTTAAATTCCTAAACACCCAAATCATACGTGAATATAGAAGTGTTTTTTGGGTAAATATATTTTTAAAAGTTGGATTCAAATGGCTCACTATGTATGTGAAATGCTGATAAATTATTGAAAGAACCCAGCATACATATATTTGAAATATTGTGCTCTTTTAGACACGTCAATGTTCTTTTAAATATATATTCCAAGTAAACTAGCTATATTTCTGGTCGGTTCATGACTCCAAGTCTTGTAACAAAGTTTAGCATATTTATTCATGCTCATTCTATCAATCTGTTAAAATTATTAAGTAATTACTTCTCAAGAAATAGACATCGCATATATGATAATATCTATATATGGTACTGAATTGTATTGTTTTCAAGCATCTTAATGATGAATCATCAGTGAATTCAGTGTACACACATCTTATATGTGTACGTTCAATCGTTTTCTTGACAGATTATTCACTTGATAAGTATTCTCAATTATAATTGACTTCATTGCATATTATTTAATTATATATTTTTTCCTTTGATTTAATCAACTCTAAAGATATTCAGCTCTACTAAAAAATTTTAAAAAAAATACTCCATAATGTAGTCGATGTATTCATTCATGAAGTTTCAGTAATGAATACAAATTTCTCACTTGTTACTATTTTTTCACCTTTATTGTTTACGTTACTCAACTGTAGGTATTTGTAACTTTTTACAATATTATATTGAAAATAGTGGAAAATGCTTTATTTTTATAATACTATTGTTTAAACTTTATTTTCTTTGCGTGTAATATAAATTCACAAACGTTTTTAGACTGAAACAATTTATTGTTTTGATTCCTTAAACGAATAGTAAATTTATGTTGGTAACAAACTTCATTTAGTTAGTTCTAACTTCTTCATATATCACTCCGTTTCGTCAAAACTAATTTAGATACACACTAGTTATTTACTTACGCCTGTTACTCCTCATGGAGGAACATGGGCCACTGACTAGCATTCTGCATTGAACTCTGTCCTGGGCGATCCTTTCCAGTTATTATTCATTCTTTTTGATATCTCTTTACAATTTTCGATGCAGTGTGTTCCTTTGTCCTCTTCTATTCCTATTCCCTTCATGATTCCATGTTAGCGCTCGCCTCGTGATGCAGTTTGATGATTTCCTCAATGTGTATCCTATCCATTTCCAGAGTCTTTTCCTAATTTCCTCCTCAGCTGGAAGCCGGTTTGTTCTCTACCGTAGTAGGCTGTTGCTGGTAGTATCCGGCCAACGAACATTGAGTATCTTACGTAGACACTTGTTTATAAATTATTGTATCATTTTGATGATAGTTATAGTTCTCCGAGTTTCAGCTCTATACAGTAGGACTTTCTCGACGTTCGTATTGAAGATTGTGATTTTGACATTGGTTGACAGCTGTTTTAAGTTCCATATATTCTTCAACTGTAGGAAAGCTTCCCTTGCTTTGCCGATCATTGCTTTTACGTCTGTATCCGATCCTCCTCGTCCGTCGATGGTGCTGTCCAGATACATGAAGGCTTCCACCTGTTCCAGGCTTCTCAATCAAATGTGAGCTAGATACACATTAGTACACAAATACAAAAAAACTATACATACTTTGTTTATTATTAGAAGTTAGTTTTAAGAGATAACAATAATAATAATAATAATAATAATAATAATAATAATAATAATAATAATAATAACAAGCTCAAATGTATATTTCTTACAGAAATTAATTTATAATAACATAATAATGTCCATCTACTCAAAGAAATCAACACCAATTATCCCCAATAAATTTTTATAGTTTCATAATTGTTTCATTATAAAAAGTTGGTTGAATTTATTGTTTGTATTTTATTACTTAAAAAAAATTAAATATCTCACATAGTTTTTACTACCTTCTAATAATAATGTTTAACACTTTTTTTTCCTTTTTTCATGCACCAATTTTCGCTTTATCATATTAATCTATATCTATGTCCATCTATCTATATATCTATGGATATGCGCACGTATTACCTACTGAACTAACTACTATCCTATATCTATTTATTTCCATTGAAATTACACTGCACTTATATTAAATTGATGTGAATGCTATTCGTTTATTTCTTCATTCAACAATATTGCTTTGGTTGCATAATTTTCTTGATGTCTATAATATGACTGAATACATTCGCCTATATATATATATATATATATATATATATATATATATATATATATATATATATGCTTATGTTAATGCTTATTGTCTGCCTTGCATATTTGATAATGTTCATTGGTTTGTATGTAAAAAAAATACATATTATTATTTATATATAATTTTGTTTGCCTAAATAAAATATTATTTTGGAATAATCGAATAAACGCATTTTTATTTATTTAGAACATCGAAAATCCCATAAAACTCTGTACAGATTTAATTCAGATGGTAGTTTTAATTTGTTTTAATTCGCTTTTTTATTGAAAATTGAATAATGAAAAAAACATTTTATTGACATCAATTAAATGTTTGTTTGTTTTAAATAGTAATCTAATACAGATAGATTTAAATGTAGATGACTATTTTGTAATTTTACAGAAATAAGTTCAAAAATACAAATTATCGGTTATTATATTTTAATCTATATAGCATAATATACGTATAATCAATATAAAATGTAATAGTACATTGTTATTTCATTCTAGTAATGATCTGAAAATAATATCAATTACATATTATGAACTTGATATAAATAAACTGGATTCATGTAGATAGAAATTTATCATTACCAGTGTTCATGTCATTGTTGAAAATAGTTCTTAGAATATTGGTTATAACCATTTATAGCTTATCAAATGCTTTTGATTATGTTGTGTTCTGAATCGGGCGATCTATTTACAAAATTTCCATTGTTATTTTGATTAATTTAAGCACTTTTAAATTTAAGATTTAAAATTTCTTTCTACTACCAATTGAGTAGTTATTCTTCATGACTATGTTGATGATTGATTTTCTCTGGGTGGTTATTTTTTTTTGGACCGACCTCTTACTGAGTAACCTTTTTTCTGTATCGACATGTATCAGTACAGTAAGGAGTTGGTTGCAGATTGATCTAATCACGTCATTTCCGGCTATTGTGGCATTTTCTTAACTAAGTGCGTATCTACAATCGCTTACAACCATTCATATAAGTGCAAATATATTGCATTCTTTCTATACTCTGTTCATGTACCTTTATTTAAACGTAGAGTCTACCCTCTCACATAAAGTGCTTCTCATACTTGGTACAATTAATTTTGTCGACGGTCTTGCATTTGTCTTCTTTCGCTGTCATACACCAGTTAAACCTCGTTGGTTAACATCTTACAACGCATTCCATATTTGTTTCTCAAATGTTTTAACCGACCAAAAGAACTCTAACTTAAATACATCCATCAGGACTAATCGTAGAAGCTATGGTGGTATAACTAGATGCTGAAGTCTCACCAACAATAAAACCTTAAGTTTTGGGAATACTATATAGATGATGCGTTTGTTGTCATTGAGACACGTACTCAAAAATTCTCCTTGATTGATCAGTAACATTTTCAGTCAATAGAAAACAGTTAAACCACAAAATTCTATTGTTGGGTGTCCTGATTTTATCCAACGAAACAAACAAAAACGTTATAAACATTATCACACAAGAAGCCAATTCTCACAAATCAGTGGAAGCTCAACAATAAAAATAATAGCGTACAAACACTTGTAAGAAGAGCTAGAACACACTTCAGAGCTCAGCGAAAAAGTCAAACTCTTCATTCTGTAAAATGGCTCCTCTCGCAAATTCATCAGGTGTTTGGCAAATCGATATACCATCACAAATTCACACAGGTGTTTATAATAAGAACAAATGATCACAAGGTTATTGAAACCCGTCGGAATGGATGTCACACTAATACTAATATGATCGCGTCATTCTTTTTTGCGAAGACTGAACGATATATTTCATACGTCTTAGCCGAAAACGTCTTATGTTTTTATTAAATATTACCTCCGTCTGTTACTGTTTTGATATTTTTAGCTTTGTTCCTCTAGTTTTTAGGCTGTGTTAACTAAAATAATTTTTCAGCTTGAAGCATGGAATCACATTTACAAGATTGTGAGGTTACTAGGAACTATAGCATCGTTCCAGTAGTGTTATTAGATGGATGTCGGTTTTTAGTGTGAGCTCTTTTTATTTAGCTCAAATCTCAGTTTTCAAACATTAGACAGCACCCTAATACCATAACCCGAGATATTCTCATTGTTCATCTTTAAACGTATAGCGTTACCAGATTTTCTGAATATTCATATCATACTACTTTTTCTGCCTGCCGTCCTTTTACTTTTGCTATGCTAGTATACACAGTAGTAACATGAATGTGTCACGTGATGAGTCGCAGATTGGATTGCAAGTAATTTCTCAGTTCGTTGTAGTGTTGATTAAAATGCATCTTTTCAAGATGTAAACGATTATTTGTCTTAGTTTGAGCTTGTTTGCAAGTTCTTTTTTTAGTCTGTAAATATTCATATCAATATTTCCTGTTTATCGGTAATTTAGGATCGATTTTATCTCCTGGAATCACGTATACATTAAGTAATTTAGTATATTTTGCATATAACAAATAATGGTACTCAGCAACCGTGTACAAAGTCATCCGCCAATGGTATATACTGTTTGGTTACTAAATTCTCGGTACAGTGCAGTTGCAAATTCTTATTAACTAATTGAATGTTGATTGCCCTACCGAATAAACCAGAGCTTTATTCAGCTGAGTATATTTGACTTGATTATTTGATCTTCTTTCATCCATTTTACACATTAAATAAGGGATGTTGGTTTTCTGTAATTCAGGTTCGTGTTTATTGTTATCACGAATAACTGAATAGTTTTGGTTGGATGAGGTTATTGATGCTCACTTCCTTTATTAGATCAAAAAAGTAACGTTTTGTTTGAACAAAATAATACCGATTTATTGGTCTTCTTGTGTATATGCTTAAAGACTAATGCTCTACAATAAAGTTTCGCTAATCTTCATATGCAACTAATAAGAAGGGGGAAAATCTTAAGTGTAGCAGTCAGATGTATACAGTTTTAGTCGACCCAAGCTAATTACCTTTATAAGCGGTTTTTAAGCTTATTTAAATTTTTGTTACAGACCAACACCCAATGAGAACCGTCGACATCTAGTTACCTCATTTCAGAACTAGTTAAAGGTGGTTACCAATGCCCTCATACAACAAATTAACCAGTGCCTTTGAGTCTCGCCATGATCCCAGCTGGGCTACACTCGAGATCCACTAACCAAGAATTATCCAATTTGTGGAGTGACTCAAACCCCGTAGTGTAGCGTGTAAAGTTATTTGGGAAATGCTCTGTGTTGTTCCATTTCTGAATCTAGTTCTGAGAGAAATTAGATCACATTTGTAACTATGACTTAATGCAAACTGCTGTGTTTCATCCTAATCATACATTATAGTGTTTCCTAACAAAATACCCAGCTACCTAATTCTAAATGCTTATCATCCATAATCTCAAGTTTAGTTACTAAGTTCTTAGTGAATTAGTTTCAAATTATGAATATGCTATACATAAACGTCCACAAATACGAATATTTTCTGATGATGCACTTATTTATGTCAGCTTATTATCCTACTTCATAGTTGCTTATATTTGCACCCGTTCTCTAGCTTGTTTTCATGGACCACATATATTACTGGATAAACATATGATTTAGTCTATTTATACCTCCAATTTACAGGCACAATATGTATACCGAATGTTGATACCTCATTAAATCCCATTTCTAAGCCATTTCGATTTTCAACGAGTAATATTTTTCCAACACTTAGTAAACCACCACAGTCAACTGTTGATACAAGGTTTTCTCCGGAACAAATGAAAGTTAGACGTCTACGTCTGTCACAAATGAATCTCTTTGCTTCGGGTCGAGGTAGTGGTGCACCAATACCTATACGTATTGGTGAACATCATTTGGATAATAAAACGGATAACCGAACTCATGTCTCCACTTCTGTAAGTTGAAATATTTAAATTAATTATTTTATTGCAAAAAACGAATACAACCGAGAACTACTTATTTTGGATTAGTGTTTCATACTCTTCAAGTGGCTCTAGTACAGGTTATGATGACCGAAGTAGAAGTGAAAGCGTTTGTACACATTTTTATTTAGAAATTCAGTTTGTTAGCTTTGTCGATAGAAAAAAACGTACGATAAGTAATTAGCTTTTGCTTGATCATAAAGCACAGTGTTCAGCTAATTGGTGACGGAATTCCCGAACTGTTCGCTTATGTAACTAGTTTCACAGGAGCAGTTTAATTGAAGAAGTTTGTCATTATTTTTGGTTTTGAGGGTAAAATCGTTTCAGAATAAAGCATACAGTTTGTTTTTCTGTGGAGCTTTTCTTATTATCGGTATTATTTCATTAGTAGTTTCGTCTATAAACTCTAGTTTTAGGGGCAAGGTGTTCTAATTTCCTCTTTATAATTTAATTTTCATTTACAACTTAAATTTTTAGACTCATTTCCGATCGAGATTAGGAGGAAGTGACTAGTGTTTTGTTTCTGAATGTTGGCTGGATTCTTTTTAGTAGTTTCAGTGTAAAGATGAGAGTTTACTTACACTTGCAGAGTTTTTTTGTCATGTTTTAGTTCGTGTATCAGCCAACACTTCTTTTTCAATGACATGAATCTCTCAGTACTGATGTATTCTACTTTTTAATCGTAAATCATTAACATATTTTTATTTACATTTCTATAACTACATCGTATTTTAGATTTTCATGCAGAATTATTTTAGGAATATTGCCAGGATATTTTTATTCACGTCATTGAGGATACACGTTTTATTCCCCGCACACTGGTTAGAAAATCCAGCAATGAGTTCTTCACTTATCAAAGTTAATGACTTACTGTTACTATTATTTTCTACAATATCATATAAATATTATGTTTATTAGATATACACTATTGTCATCTTTAGTTTTTTTATACTTCACTTTTATTAAATCCTTCGGTGAACAAACATTTGTGGAACTCGTTTTATTCACTAAGATCAAAAATCAAGGTTAGTTACATAGAAAGTGTATATTTTGATAAACTATGATTAAAATGTAAACAAAAAACATCCATTATGTATTGCTGAAGCTAGTTCACAACACTCTTTTATAAATGAACTATTAATTCTACGAGTGTAATTGTTTCTTTAATAAAAAATATCAAATATTGCAGTATTGTGTCGTCTATGATTTAATTGATTAGTCTCAAACTCATGGTTCTGATCAAATTCGTGTCAAGAAGAGTGAAATTAATAAATCAGATTTGACAATAAACAAATTCTACGCTGTTTTTTCAAATCATGAATACAATTTCAGTACATTTTGATATATTTTACCATGTCCACAAACATGGATTGGTTTTCGGTTTATGCTAGTTTCGTAAAGCCTATTATGTAACAACTTTAGTTAATTACATTGCTTCGTGACCGAGTGTTATTTAGCCACAAATCTAAATTTGTATACTACATTGTTATTTATATTGGTGTCTGCAAATTTTTATTTGGCTCTTTGCAATTTACAAAGTAGGTACTTCTTGTCGGAACGTTATTAAAAGTAGCGTATGGGACTTCTCTACTATTAATTACAATAACTTCACAATAAGATTGGCCAACTAATCTACCTACTGTCAAAAACGATTTTATACTAAACAACTGTTCAGTCGTTTAACAGCGTAATTAATACGGAGTAACGGTTGTTTACTTTTACTTATGTTGAAGTATAAGAACCGAATACTGAAAACAAATTTTTTAAGATAAAAGTATTATGATGAAGAACTCGTTGCCGATGAAAGATGTTCATCACTAGTTTACAATTTAAATTGATCTAAAAATCTCGGATTTATGAGAATCTTGTTTATGTGAATAGACTTATTTTGAGCAAAAGACTGATTTCTTTCCTAAACCAGAATTGTTTATTCTACTAATTTATGAGAATTAGTTATATCCATTCATTATATTGATTTACAATATCTACATATTTATATCTTCATCTTCTATAGGCTCTTTAGTCAATAACAGTTCGTCTAATGCACTTCTCTCCGTTTCGAATTATATCAGCAATGAGCAGGCTGAATTAGAAGAGGCACAAAAGGAGTTAGATAAAGAAGCAGCTGTACTAGAGCAGCGTTTACGCCAACAAATGGCATACGAACCAGGCACCACATTAGAAGAAGAATTGTTAAGACGATGGTTTATTTTAGTCAATAAGAAGAATGCCCTAATTCATCGGGGCTTCCAGTTGTCTATAATGTAAGGCTGTTCATCCTTTTATCCGTATTATAAGTGTGATATTCTTTATTACTAATGGATATTTCAATCTATATGTTATCTAAATAAATACGTTATTAACTCAACTTATACAATGACAATTATTTCAACGGCCTTGCTTCTATTTTATCAGATTATTGCGATAACATCAAGTTCGGAAAATCAAACAGATTTATTGGATACTTCCAAGAGACGTCCTCTCTTAGACTAAAGCAGTATTAGGGTATATTTTGTTGAGATATTTTAAATCAGACTACATTAAAGACAGAAGCCTGTAAAATAGAATAAAGAAGAGAATAGCATACATTCAAATAAATCCAGTAGGCTGCCAAAAAGTCGTTTTCCTTTTAAGCTCACTATCATTTATTCCACTGTAATTTGTCTAGCTTCTTCTGCGAAATTGGAGCAGTCAAAAGTTGCCAAATGAGATCACCTTTTTCCAGTCAGGTGCAAGTTATTGATCAATAAATGATTTCATTCTCTAAGGAGTAGATATATGTATGAATTAGTTATCATAGATGTGTACCGGTTTAGCCCGTTGAACTTTCTTTACTCGTAGTTTTCTCACTGGTAGCCACTTAGACTTGCGTATGAGAAGTTTTTTTATCAGTATCAGACTCCAACATTACTCGTCATAACATCTGATCTAAAAATTAAGGTAGATAAACTTTCTTCAAAGCGCTTTGTAATCCAATTAAATTTTTGAAATTAATTATTTTGTATTTAAACCATCCCATTTACCCTGATCCTTTTTTGTGTTAGAACGTACGCGATAATCGTCACTTTTTTATTCTTAGTTGAGCCTGTCGTGATAATACAATGTTCGACCACAATGTTATTATACAATTACATCAATAACAAATTGTTTATTTATTTCAGGGAGAAGGAAGATGATTTGAAAAAGAAAATGAAAATGTTGCAGGATGAATTACGATCGATTTTATCCGTTGAAGGTAAATTTAACTGGATATAACCACTGACACACAGACTAAGCTACTAAAATTACCCGTAAACAAGATTGCCTTGGAGGATAACCATAAATAAGTGGTATATTTGTGTTATAACATAACGGTGCAATCACTTACCTTTTCAACAAATTATAAAGTGCTAGACATGCTATTTTTCGTGATTTCACTTCTTAATTTTGCGTCCAAAAACTTAACTTCCCCATCCTCTACTGATCTCTGCTTTTCCCTGTGTGGTTGTCTTTAGGTTTGTTCTACTTTATATTTATTAACAGACTACACATATAAACAGTGTTCCCCATAATTTAGCATTTTGCAGAGACAATAAATTTTTCTTCGAAATGAACATGTATTACGGGCAGTCAGGTGTAATGCTTGATATTGCATATTTCTAGCTTATAATAGACTCGTTCGATTCAAATGTTTAGTGATTATTTGTCACCTCAAGAAGGTAAGTAGCTTTGAGCTTCAAACGCTCTGCATCTTACGCGATTTTTTTCTGTCTGTATGAAGTTGGTTGCTAAAATAAAGGAAAAACAACTTATTTCTCATGACAAAAACCGATTAGTATTTATCCCTGAATTTTTGTAGGCTTAGATCAAACTACATCACTTTTATGTATCGTTACATTTGCTTATCTGGGTCTCGAAAAATCCAATTAAGTGTCTTACTTTATCCTATAAATGTGAAAAATGAACTCGCAACACCTGGAGATTACGACAACAAAAGCGTTGCCACAAGTTTATGGGGATAAAGTATTTGTTGGCTTAGGCGTTAAGTTCATCATTCAAGCATTGGGGAGTCACGTAGTGTCATTAATCACAAGAAAAGGTCTGTGTACAAATGTATTTTTTTTACTGAGTCACATTCAGTTATTAAGCCTCTTTAATGCAACGCGTGTAATTTGTGATTTCATTAAAATCTCATACTAATCCGTAAAACTTTTCTCGAAATAAAATAGATTATTTGAAAACAGATAATGATAGAAGACGAGAAGATCTTCTTTTACAAGATCTTGTACGACTGGTCAATGAACGTGATGACATCATTCAGGAATTGGATTTGCATGAGAAAGTGTAAGTTGTTTGTATTTTTAACACTTACGATTTTTGTAACTTAAAGATTAGCTGAAGAACTAGAACTGGAGCAAAATGCAGGTTATATGTCATATGGAAGGCGTAGAATCGACAAAAGTTGTGTACTACAATAATGCTTAACTTATCCAGACAAGCATGTACAATGGGCTGTGATTCATAATAGAAAATATGTTTCACTAACCACTTCTGTTCGAGGTTTATTTACTCATTGATGTGTACATCGATTCCTTTCGAAAAAAAAGTACTATTACAGTCTCTTTCAGCGCCATATTTCAATTACTGTCTCAGGCGATCACTTTTTCGTGTATTTTCCCCAGATGTCATTTAATCAGTCTTTTTCTGACTCCTGGAGTAAACAAATTGTGATGTTACTTTTCATTTTCTTGGGACTGCTTTGTGTTTTGAAAAAGTTCCTTGTGTTGTTAACTTTTATTTCATATTTACTTAAAATATATCAAATTATTTCGAAAACAGAATGATTGTAACCTGTCTTATACTGTTTTATTTATCAATAATACGTTTTATGTATATGTAGTCATTATTATTGTATATTTCTCTTTTCTTTCTTGAGAGTCTATTATGGAGTTCGAATTGACAATAATACAAGTTTAAACCAAAGTGAAAAGTATGACTTCTCATCGGTTATCAAGGGTTTAGACGAACATGATACGCATGTCAATGCTTCTTTTAATAGCACCCACTAGCAATTACCCGGAAAATGAATGTTTCCCCTAGATTCAGCCCTTAACATTAAAAATTCATTTTGCATGCACATATATATACTGTTATTTGCGAAAACAAATCTTTAAAATTATACATAAATTTCTGAAAGGCATCTCAGACAAATCAGTTATCTGTTCTTCATTAGTAACTTTGCAGGATATTGCTCGGAACTCAAGTCTTTGATTGAAAACAAACGGCTAGCTCGTTCTTTCAACGTCCCTCCGCACTTTAAACCCCGAGCCATTAAGGTTGCTTTAAGAACATCTAAGCCGAACACTTCGAGGTTTTCAGCAGTATCTACTTCACGCAACTGTTGGTCATTCAAAGGTTGTGCGGTTTCTTTTGAGGTATTTCTACAAGCACTTTGCGATTCTTTTTTATCTTCGACTGAAATTTGAAAGAAATGCATTACTATAGTTAATTTTTTTATTCATCAGTCGTTCAGAAACAACAGATTAACGACCTATATGATTAATAAATGTAAGGATTTTTACTTACTGTCATTGCTTCAAAACATATCAATGTACCTATTGTTTTTTCGTTTTATTGACACTAAAAAGTATTCTTATCGTCGTGCAACGAAAATCATCTTTTCATTGGCATTCTTGTTCGAACGTATTCCAATGGCTGATTCGTCATTGGACCTCATCTATTCATATAATTTACTTTTTTGTTTCAAATACATTTGCAGTAGAGCTAAGAAGTGGACTCATCGTATGATAACAATTCGTAAGTTAGTCTGTTACTAACTTTCGAACATTTTGTATCGACTGTAGGTGGATTCCGTAAGTTAGGAAACATCTAATATTACCAGAAAACATACAGATAAAAAACCGATGAGTCCAGCTTGATGAAAATGCGGTTGTAATCGCAGTTATAATTAACACACATTTAACCTGTTCGTAGACTGACAACAATTTTTCAATACGAAACCGCTGTGAAAGACTATCACGGCTAAAGCAGTTTATAACCTCTGTACTCATATATATAGTATTCCATGGCAAACAAGGACAATGGCTTATCAGTTTTCGAGGTTAAGGGATTGAAACCAATAAAGCTATCAAACATAGTGTGTAATAAAGTTGACATTAGTACTTTAATTAACGTACGATTGTTTTTTCTAAATGTATTTAATATGAATAACCTTGAAGAATTTCGAACAACGTGGTAGAAACTATAACTGATTATGATCTCATTTATACCAAGCCTTAGAATGATTATGATGGGAAAACAGAGCTGCTCGGTCTTCTATACGATAATAATTAGAGCGACTTCTAAACTTTCCAGTGGCTACCGAGGTTACTTACTATCTTGCAAGTTCAATCGAGTGCACCAATGTATATTGAACTCTTCATAGTGAACAAGATACTAACTTACCGATTACATCTGATTTAATACTGTTAAGGATCTCTGTAGAATCCGTTTTGGCTTCGGTATCGTCTTTTACGGGCAAATTATCATCTTGTTTTGCAAGACTAGAGGAAATGTCAAATGACGAGCTAGCCGAAAATTCTTCATCGCTAGAACCCGAAGGCAGCTCTTTGTCCATTTCTTCAATCCATAATCGAGTACGCTTTGCATTCAGCTGCTTTTCAGAGGAAATTACAGATTGGATTTCCGTTTGTTTCTTTTCCTTTTTAACATTTTCTATGGCTAAACTCAGTGTAATGAATTTTGTATCAAGCGACCTTACCTATATCTAAGGCTCCCCGTAGTTCGTAAGCAATTTTACGTTTTTGTCGTTCATATTCACGATCTGAAAAACTATGTTCAGGTAAAAGACCCTGTTTTAATAGCTCTTGACGTTTTCGTCGTCTTTCAATATATTCCTCTGCTTTTTTACGTTCCCGTTCGTCAGCCGTAGCATACCATTCTTTTAATTTTTTTTCCAGGTTTACATCACGCATTCTCCTACCTGATAAGTCTCTGCACATTTCATGATTGGTTGTCTTCTCGATTTGACTCCCAATAGCCCGTAGCATAGATCCAAAACCCCCTTTACCACCGCGCAAACGATAGTGCACGTTCAACAAAGCACATTCAGGAATTTCTTCCACATCATTTACTATGCGCCCATTATATGTGTAATAAACATCGTCAGTATTACATGCATCATGTAACCAATCTATATAAGTTATATATCTGGGAAACGGAGCACCATACAACGCCATCTGAAATGTCGAATTATTATTCATGTAAATCGTAAATCATAGAGACATGCTGGAGCCAATATGTTTTAAAACGTAATCAAAGCTTCCTTGAAAACTTAAAAGAATAACATTAGAGTTCGAATCCTGCGAGGCGGAATCGTGGGTACGTCCCATACAAGGACGAAATGGCCGTCTAGTGCTTCCAGGTTTTCCATGGTGTTCTAGCTTCGATTGATTCATGATCTCAACAGTTGAAATTACTAAAGTCTCCACAAAATCCCCTTCTAAAAATTTTATGAGCTAGATAAGCTAGGAGGGCAGATCCATGTGACTTGTCGAAATTCCCAGCACTACTGGTGAGGTGTTATATTATTCTTTGGTACCCTACTACTTGGTCAAAAGTGGTTCCACAGTCTAGAGTTGGCGGTATCTCGTGTGTATTTCATGAAGACATTTAATACGAAGATCGAAATAAGATGAAAAGCTGTCAGACGTAGATAATGGTAACTTACACACAGGGAGGACGTACAAAACTATGTCGGAGTATGGAAGGTACATCAGTCTATCAAGATCTCAAAAGATTAGTCACATAAAAATTAAGTACCCAAATAAGTTATTGGGTATTGATATAGTTGAACTATCGCGTGGAAGAAGTGGAAATGAGTATATTTAACTTTGGGTGTTGATCTTTTGTTAGGAGACCGATTTATTGAATTATAACGTGAAGATATAGTTTTTTGGTGAGGACGCTCACAAAATTTATACTTCTAATCGCACTGAGAAAAAATGAAAGCGTATTCATGAATGCGTTTCACTCGCTCCAAATTCGAAATTTTGTTCTAGGACTGGTCTTCAGTCAGTCATGTACAACGTTATTCCAGGCACATATATGCATCGGCCCAAGTTGCCATACCCTATTAGCACAACAAGGTGAACACCAAGTACATGGAAGCAGCTATTTTAATAGTAGTAATATATATAAATAAAGATTGCATATGAGGATATGATATAGTTAGAAAAATTTAGTTTGTAGAAGAAAAGGTATAAAATAATTTTAATCTAAGTGATTCAAATCTTCATGCCTACACTAATGGCAGTTAAATTCGTTGTCCATTTTACTTTTCAACGACAAAATCTGGGTAAAGATTTGGAAAACTCGGTTGCTTGCCCGATTTGCGACTTCTGTTAGATTTCCATCTGAGAACCAAAGAACGAGTATTTTATTCAGGAGTTCGCTCTGTTTACTTTATGGCTATGAAACGTGGTTTATGGAAATAGACGATATTTGAAGGTCGCTACTGTTCGACTATAAATACCCCTTAACCACTGCTAGTGTTACATGGAACAACCAAAATCAACCCTGAATTACGGTATAAGATATTAGGCAAAAATTATGAATCGATTGGGGTTGTGAGTCCTCATTGATTGAGATGGTTAGAACATATAACGTCTAATAAACCAACCTTTAATCTGATGCACGGTTACCTGATATGAAAGTGGGTTGAAGTAAAGCTAGGGGCAGACCAACTCTTGATTTGAGTCACGCCCCCAAATGTCCTGGTAAGACCGAGAGTGGGGAGAGTCCGCTCTCTCTCGAAATGCTCTCACATGGCCACGCGTATATAGCCTCTACCAGGGAAGTCCTACTCACTGTCTTCTCGCACCAAGGGTGTTGTTTACGAAAATGAGAGGACGAAAAGCGAACGTCCGGCGCTTTAACCGGACCCCAAACCAATGGTGCACATGGGCTCCAGTATCCTGCGGGAACAAATGGCGTATGAACCAATCGCTGGTCACCGGCTACTATCGGACTGCATCTCCTAACGATGCTCCACTGCCTTGTGGATCAGACCTTCAGGTCGAAGGCTCTGGGTATGGCCCCCTAAGATAGCCACCTGCTTCGGTCTGGGCATCCGAGCAGTCTCACAGCCCGCACACAAATATGATGAACTGTCGATAATTATGGAAAATACTTTTCTTGCTTCAACTAACAATCAAATGATTATTATTACTTTTATTTTTATTATTATTATTTACCACATTATTCACCCTCTTTTATACTTATACAGCGGCTCGTCTTTGGTGGAAATTCGACTGTATCTAAACGTTCTCGAGTCACTGTCCGGTTGAAAATTGTATGTTACCACCGAATACGAGGACTGAAGCAGTTTTTCTGAAACCACGTGCACCATTCAAACTGGCTGCCTTCAACGTTCGCACATTTATGCAGGTCGGACAACAGATAGGGCTGGCTATGTCTTTGGAAAGTCTTAATATCGATGTTGTTGTCTATCCGAGACCCGTATTCAAGACTCTGGCGAAGTACTACAAATTCGATCTCCATCTGTCGCTTCGAAAAGCTTGTTTTACGTGCGCTTATCCGGGGACCCTGTGGCATCTTCGTCTGGTCTTGCTGGCGTTGGTGTCGCACTAAGCGCTAGAGCTGAGGCAGCACTAGTCGATTGGATCCCCATTAACAGTCGGTTATGTGCTGTTAGATTAGAAAGTTCCATCAAAGTGAGAAGAAATCGGCGTGAGAAACGATGTCTTTTCGTCATCTCCGCCTATGCCCCGACAGATTGCAGCCCGGATGCAATCAAGGATGAGTTTTACCACCAGTTATCTGTTCTTCTCCAGAAAGTGCGTTCGACAGATATTGTAGTACTAGCCGGAGACTTGAATGCTCAGGTCGGGCGTCTAGGCACAGAAGAGAGTCGTTTAGGTGGCCGATGGGGACTCGTTGGTCGCAGGTCAGATAACGGGGACCGTCTACTGCAACTTTGCACAGACCACAACCTGTTTCTGGCTAGCACTAACTTTCGGCACAGTCATCGCCGATGTGCCACCTGGCGTCCTCCCTCTGCATCTCAAGCCTGGACTCAGATTGATCACATCGCGATCAGCTACCGCTGGCGTGGTTGTGTAAAGACTGCCGCTCCTTTTGGAGTACCTATCTGGACTCTGACCATGCCTTGGTCTGCGCCAATCTTGCCTTACTTTTCAGTGGACAACGAAGTGACGCCATCAACGGATTGATGTTAGCAAGCTGGTTGCAACTTCTGTTGCAAGTAAGTATCGAACCGAGCTAGCCTCTAGGCTAGCTACCACTCCACCGAAAAGTATAGATGAGCATTGGTTGCAATTGCATGACGCCATGAAAATGGCGGGAACAGTCAGTTGTGGGTTTGCGAAACGTCCCGCTTTAAGCACTGGGTTTCTTCTGGTTCCTTACAACTCATTGAAGCCCGTCGGTCTACTCCGGGTGACCGTGAGTTTGACCATAAACGAAGGATGTTACGTAAGGAAATTGGGCAAAGCTTGCGTAAGGACCGAGAAGCCTGGTGGTCGATGCGTGCTAATGAGCTGGAAGCAGCAGCTGCATCTGGTAACTACCGGAAGCTCTTCCAGCTCATCCGAGCCACTGGCAGCAAGAAGTCTGGTGTGAGTGAAACAATCTGCGAGGATGATGGGATGCCAATCACTAACATCCATCGACGTCTTGGACGATGGGCAGAATTTTTCGAAGGGCAGTTCAACTGGCCTGCTGCTCCGGCAACATCGGTCAGACTGTCCTGCCCTCCATGGCCGGTGACGACTGATCCACCAAACGAGGAGGAAGTCCGCAAGGAACTCCAACTCTTGAAGCGTTACAAATCACCTGGCCCAGATGACTTACCTCCGGCTCTTTTTAAAGATGGTGGTGACTTTTTGACTAAGGAATTGACGACGTTGTTTACAAAGGTTTGGGAACTAGAGAGTGTACCAACGTCATGGAATGAGTCGATAGTTGTCCCTATCTTTAAAAAGGGTTCACGTCGTTCCTGTAACAACTATCGGGGGATAAGTTACTTCCGATTGCGTCCAAGCTATTGGCTTCCGTCATACTTCGTAGGTTGTTCAAAACCCGAGAAAGATTGACTCGCGAGGAGCAGGCTGGGTTTCGTTCTGGTCGAGGATGTATTGATCATATCTTCACCCTCCGCCAAATGTTAGAACACCGCCATACTTTCAAAGGCCAACAATCGTAGTGTTTCTTGACATCAGGGCTGCCTTCGATTCGTTGGACAGGACTGTTCTCTGGGATTGTCTATTGAAGAAGGGTGTGCCTGAGAAGTTTATTAACATCCTAAAAGCCCTATATAAAAACACCTCAGGCAGAGTGAGGGCATACAACCACCTCTCTCCATTGTTCCATTCGAGCAGTGGGGTTAGGCAGGGTTGCCCAATCTCACCATTCCTCTTCAACTTTGCCATCGATGACATTCTGGAAACAGCTCTGATGAATGTAAGTAATGGTGGTGTGGATCTGTTGCCTGGAGAAAGACTTCTCGACCTTGAGTATGCGGACGATATTGTCTTACTGTGCGATAATGCCCAAGGCATGCAATCCGCACTTAATCAGTTGGCAATCAGTGTCCGTAGGTATGGTATGTGCTTTGCACCTTCGAAGTGCAAAGTACTTCTACAAGACTGGCAGGATTCTAATCCTGTACTCACCCTGGATGGTGAGCAGATAGACGTAGTCGAGAAGTTCGTGTATCTGGGTAGCTGCATAAGTGCTGGTGGGGGGTGAGTGATGAGATCAATGCACGAATAGTGAAAGCCAGAGCGGCTTATGCCAATCTGGGCCACCTTTGGCGCCTTCGTGATGTTAGTCTGGCTGTAAAAGGTCGGATCTACAACGCGTCGGTGAGAGCAGTTTTGCTCTATGCTTGTGAAACCTGGCCTCTCCGAGTTGAGGACGTTAGACGACTCTCTGTGTTCGATCATCGCTGTCTCCGAAGGATTGCTGACATTCAGTGGCAACACCATGTCAGTAATGCAGAGGTTCGGCATCGTGTGTTCGGGCACAGAGATGATAATCAATTGGTGTCACCATCTTGAAACACCGACTTCGGTGGCTTGGACATGTTCTCCGAATGTCGTCCCAGAGAATTCCACGTCGTGCATTATTTGCCGACTCTGGGACTGGTTGGAAGAAGCGGAGAGGTGGTCAGTGCATGACATGGTGTCGTGGCATGAAAGAAAGCTGCAAAGGACTGGCTTGTGTTGGTCCTTCACGACTCCCTGGTTGGGGTCCGAGAGATGGTGCTACACAGTGGCTAGAGACGTTATCAGATATGGCTCAGAATAGAAGCCAGTGGCGATCCTGCTGTAACCTTTTACTTTCTTTATGAAAAAGTGGTTGTGTCTCACTTAACTGAAAGATTTCGTCTGATGGTACCTTTCCGCTCCCTTGTTATTACTATTATTATTACTGCACTACGTTACACCAATCTCTTCGTTATTGTTCTCTTTTTTTTCTCCTCGAATTCTCATTGCTTTGTGTGGCCCATATATATTGGTGCTCTCTTGTACCAATATTTATGTGTTCAAATAAAATAAATAAATGAAATAATGATTTGAGTCACACTGATAAATGTAAATCATAAGGTTAAGGTCAGTGTTCAGTGGCCGAAAAGTTCAGAAGCGGTCTGAATAACCTAAACGTACCTATACTAGATTTAAAGTTCAAGTATGCCCTTCATACATAACTTTTTATCGTGTCCCTAAAGTGTTTTCTTATTATTTACTCTCTCATTATCACTGCTGCAGCACTCAAAGTCAGCTATAACTACCAAAAATAACATATCAGTCTGAATGTTTTTAAACGTACTGAATTCCGCATGCAAATTTATTTTGATAAAGTAATGGTATGATTACTTATGATATTCCGAAAACTCAATCGGTTATTTGCCCATGTGCAGGTGGTAAGCAGTAATATGGTTTGATATAAAGGAAAAGACAAGATTATTTATTTATTTAAAACACATAAATATTGGTACAGGAGAGCACCAAATATATATGCGCCACACAAAACAATTAGAATTTGCAGAGAAGGAAAAAAAGTAAGGAGCGTAAAAAACGATAACGAACAGATTAGTGTAAGGTAGTGTAATAATAATAATGGGGGAAACAGAAACGTACACTCAGAAGAGATCTTTCAGTTAAGGAAGAAGCAACCACTTTTTATGAAGAAAGTAAAAGGTTACAGCACGATCGCCACTGGCTTCTATTCTGAGCCATATCTGATAACGTCTCTACTCGAGAACGTTTAGATAGAACCGAATTTCCACCATAGACGAGCTGCTGTATAAGTCGAAAAATAAGGATAGACAGAGTAGGAATAAAAGAGAGTGAATAAATGACGTAGTAAATAATAACAATATTAATAATAATAATGTGAATCGTTTGATTAATAAATGAAGCAAGAAAAGAATTTTCCATAATTATCGACAGTTCATCATATTTGTGTGCGGGCTGTGAGACTGCTCGGATGCCCAGACCGAAGCAGGTGGCTATCTTAGGGGGCCATACCCAGAGCCTTCGACCTGAAGGTCTGATCCACAAGGCAGTGGAGCATCGTTAGGAGATGCAGTCCGATAGTAGCCGGTGACCAGCGATTGGTTCATACGCCATTTGTTCCCGCAGGATACTGGAGCCCATGTGCACCATTGGTTTGGGGTCCGGTTAAAGCGCCGGACGTTCGCTTTTCGTCCTCTCATTTTCGTAAACAACACCCTTGGTGCGAGAAGACAGTGAGTAGGACTTCCCTGGTAGAGGCTATATACGCGTGGCCATGTGAGAGCATTTCGAGAGAGAGCGGACTCTCCCCACTCTCGGTCGTACCATGGCATTTGGGGGCCGAATTATTGAATTCCCAACAACCGACCCATCACAGTTTTAACCATTAATTATACCACTGAACCAAAAACTATGTAAATAGTGCACGAGATTACGCGGCAAAAGCGTTCGAAGTGCTATTGATAACTAAATGTTCACCAACTTGAAAATGTATATGCTGGAACCTGTCGAAAAGAAAGTAAATCAGCATACATTCACACAAAAAACACTTTCATAGTTGCCCAGATTTATAAATGTAGTTCCATGTTATTTAAAGGTGGATTACAAGACCAATCAATACTAAGTCATAGACGCTGAACAACACTATTTCCCAATTCTGGGAAAAAGTTTATAAGCTTTGGTGAAATGGTACCCAAACCGCAAAACAGAAAGATTGGGAAGATACAGAAATTAATTTCTGTGAAAAAACTATTGTTTATCTTATAAAAACGTGTATAAAGAAACCAGTGAAAATTTTCATGTGACCAAATTTTTAAAAAATTTCGTCGAGCCACTAACGATTTTAAGCCTCGTATCTAACTAAGGGAATCATTTTAGCTGCAGTCATAACTGGTACTTCTGCAAAAAGAACAAGTTGTAATATTGTTTGCTCCTTAGATGTCATAAAACCATTCTCGATTCTGTGAGGTTGATCAGTATCCGATCTAATAATGAAATAAGCGGACTCGTGTTTGAAATTGAAAAAGCACACAAATCAGAAAACGTGAAAAAATGCTGTGAGCTGAATTCCGAAAACTCAAATATAATCACTTACATTTGAAACGCAAAGTGATTAACTGTAAAGATGTAACGAAAACCAACGGGAAGCAAAACGATGTAACGAATTAACTCAGTGTTACCTCCACTAACGGTACATTATCCAATAACATTATCACGAAAATTATTAAATCATTTTTAAAGGAATTGGAGAAACTTGCGCTTAACAGGCTTCCGTGTCTAGTAGCAGTGGATCGCTGATACCTTCAGGTAGGAACCTAGGTAATTTTATCGATTAAAGTGGAAAAGGATGACAAAACTGGTAAATCATAGTAAGATGCTATCTTAAACCCTTAAGAATATATCAAGTTCTTTCTCAAAGGACTCCTGGAAAGTCTCTTGGTCACGAATTCCAGCCATTGGCTGCTCTTAAGGAGTAGAAGGTATATCTACAATGTTATGCTGTGTTGTCTCCGGTTTCTGGGTGTTTTCTTTTGGGTTTGTGCTTGGACTAAGCTTAGGTAGGTGTTTAAGGGGATATGCAGAATTATTTAGGATTCTGTAAGCCATTAGAAGGCCACCTCTAAGACGCCTGCACTCTAGTAGGTAAAGGTTCATTGATGGGAGGCGCTCTTCATAAGGTTTGAATTTGAGTCCCCGAATGGATTTCGTAGCTCACTGTTGGATACGTCCCAGAGTGTCCTTATCCTTTAGGGGTGAGGGAAGAAATGTTATGTTTTCGTACTGTAAATGGGGGCGAATAAAAGTGTTGGGGATTATGTGGAAAGTTTTCCTATCGAACTGGCCGAAAATGCACTCCAAAGTTACTGGCACGAAGTTTGCACGGTAGGCGTTTTTGTGGCAGTTGGAGTAAGACTTCGATTCGTAGAATACCAACACTTCCACATCTTTTCCAACTTGGTGTACTTCTAAGGGGAGTTGCCTAAGTTGTAGTTGTGTTCTGTAACATGTCTCAGATGGATTACTCTCCACTCAATCTTAAGGACTCATAACACTACTTCACCATGACTCACCAATATTTCCTTCCCTACCTGAAACTATCGGTGAGTCACGGGAAGTAGATACGAAGCCCGCTGATTACTGGTACGTTTCAAGTAGAAAAATCACTCTAGAGGACTTCAACTCATTATACAACATGGTAGACTCACAAAATTCACGCGAACATTTTCGTGGTCTGAACCATTAATCTATGGAACTAACTTCTGGGAGCTTTACTGATGATACACCTTACTTAATATTTTGGAGGTTTCGACCCATACTTTGGGTTTATCTTTTGTAAGATTGGATAAGTAGCTTTCTCCATGACAGGAGACAAAGGGTAAGGGTTAATGGGGCTCTTTCCTCGTGGGTACCTGTAAAAAGTGGGGTTCCTCAAGGTACAATCCTAGGTCCTCTTCTCTTTTTACTTTATGTAAATGAATTGCCAACTGTAGCAAAATCATCCGTTCTACTCTTCGCTGATGACATAAAGATTTGGAGACTTATACATAGTATGTCGGGTAGAATAGTATTACAGGACAATCTTAGCTCATTGGTGGCATGGTTAGACAGGCGGTCACTAGAAGTAAATCCTAATAAGAGTGTAGTTACGCAGTTAAATAACTCTGATGAATCGTATGACTATACACTACGTGGATTTGTGCTACCCAAAGCAAGAAACTATAATGAATTAGGAGTCATATTAAGCAATGATCTCAAAACCACTAGTCACTGTAAGGCTGCTGCTGCAAAAGGCTACAGGGTATTACGGTCTATTCGTAGGTCTTTCCAATATTTAGATGATGAAACGTTTAGATTATTATACCCAATTTATGTGCGACCACATTTCGAATATGGGATTCAAGCAGCGAGTCGTTGTTTCAAGTATGAAGCAGAGATGCTGGAAAGAGTCTAACGACGAGGGACTAAGATGGTACAAGGTCTATCTGGCCTATCTTATGAAGACAGACTGAGACACCTTAACTTATTTCTGTTAACTTACCGTAGAATACGGGGTGATCTGATATTGGCTTATCGTATACTGAACGATGGCCTTGGTATTAACATGTCTTATCTTTTGATTCCGTCTAGAACCGATCGTTTGAGAGGACATTCGAAGAAAGTTCAAAAACCGAGATCAAACCGTTTACGTTTGGAGTTCCCTTTCTCGCACTGTGTAGTTAATTACTGGAATTCTCTACCGGAACACGTAATATCAGCACCGTCTGTTAATATATTCAAAACGAGGTTGGACCTCCACAGTATTACAAATTGCAAGGATTAATTTAGGTCGCTAGACCTCCTGTCCTTATTATTGAAGACTGAAGTCTGATTTACTCAGAATGATACAAATTATTCTCGTCTATTGCCAACTAGATCGTGTTGATCTTAAGTTCTCAGCAGGAAAATATCAAAAATGACTCTAAGCACTCAGAAACAGATCATGAAGAATGAATGGTATACTGATTCTTTCAACCAACTTTAGTGTTGTTATTGGATTTCAGGATGATGCTGACACGAACTTTGAAAATTACGTTACCGTCCTTGGGATGACGTCTGGAACTGTTAGTATCAAAGAGCTGACTATTCCACAGCTTCAAGATCTTGTACGGCAATTTGAGCAAAAAATTCAGTTTATATCTGCTTCTATACAACAACTCAAGTCTCTCCAGGCCCAGTTCGTTGCCTCCAAAAGTTGTCTGGGCGAGCTTACCACAGAAAAGGAAAATGGAGATATTCTTGTCCCTTTAACTTCAACCTTGTGTGTCCCTGGGAAACTTTCTGATCCTTCACATGTGCTTGTGGATATTGGTACTGGGTATTATGTTGAAATGGTTTGTTGAATCCATAGGTGAAACTTTACATAATTATTGCAGACCGTTCCAGAAGCTGAAAGTCACTTTTCCCGTCGAGTAGAATATATCAATAAACAAATAAGGAAGATTTTGCCTGTTCTGGAGGAAAAAACCCAGGCACATAAATCTATTTCAGACGTTCTGGATGCTAAAATTCAAGAGTTTATCAAAGTCCGGTCAGCAGCGTGTTCTTGAATATTTGACGTATGCTTTCAGGTTCCTGTTTTAAGGATCCATTCGCCTTACTGGTTTCTTGTATTTACAATGAACATTCATGCCTGGTTGTGTATTCTGTTATTGAAAACTCAGAATGTGTTTTCTGGTCCAGGACATTGTGTCTTCCAACAATGTCAATATGTGGAAAACTAAAAATCTTGTAAATACATGTTCTAATGTTCTGCCTAATATGATTTTTGTGCTATCTACTAATATGTTGGCTGAAGGCTAATGAACAATCTTAGTTTAATCCCTTAGTGGAGTGTGAATAACTTGGATACTGGTAGTTAATTATGTCCATTAGAAGTGTTCTAAGTGAGTATATTGCGCAAAATCATGCGCTTAGGTGTCATATCACTTGGAAGATTCCATGTATGACTGCTCACTAGTTTCAGTTTTTACAATGTTCACTTTATGAAAACCTAAGATTTTTTTCTCAGTGTCTGGTACATATGTAAATATTAGTAATCAGAATTGATAGTTCTATACATGTCTTCATACTTTTCTAACGAAACACAAACTTAAAATTTATTCGGAATGGGTTTTATTAGAACTCACGATTATTTCGTTGTCTTGACCCAAAAGAATTCTGGTTATATATGTTCCCATCCCAAACTCCAACTTATCTAAGTGTGTTTTTTCAGCTTTTCAACGTGTTTCATATATATTATGTTGTTTGAGGATTCAAAATGTCAAATATTATGTAGGTAATCCGAACGTAATTTAGCAAAAATGCCTTTTTCAAGTACTTGAGCTTTCTCAAAAAACGATCATCCGTGGAGTTTTTCACACTAACTACATAGAACATTGACTTTCATGTTAGGCTTTATCTGTTTTGCTTACTCTCAAACTGTGGTAAGTTGTTAGCAATAAGTTTTAGTCTTTTTTTGACTACTTGATTTGTGTACTGTGGATCTTAATGTACGCATAGCAGATCATTTACGACCAACGTATACGTCTTTGGGATTAATTTCTTCACAGCGGATCCATGCAAAGCGAACAGGTTACATCAGACAATTAGCCATCTTGTGTGGTGTATGAGACATTCCCACAGTTAAAAGTACGAACTTACCCTTAAATATCCAGCTCGTTAAAGTAGTAATAGACAAAGTTTTTCTGAGGAATGCAGGTTCTTCATCAATGCATTTAGTACTACGTATCTTATGCATTCGGTGACATAAAAAGTGAATAAGATTCCTCCATTTAATGTAGCCCAGCTATGAAAGTTGTTCAGCTGGCAGTTCCATGTTTGTTTCCTGTATATTGACATTTTTAAGGAGTCACCACTTCATTGTCGTACATACGACAAGAAAAAAGATTGAATGACCTAGCTCATCTCCTAACATGAAATATATTAAAGGATAGCATGTGTAAATGGAATATATAATATCTACTAATTCAGTATTTTCGTCACGAATGACAGTTGTGTGGTCTATGTATCTTTATGCATAGATTAAACTAATTAGTGGTCAAACCGTGTTGGTTGCTTTCCAGCTTTGACATAAAAAACGTCTACTATGATTCTGAATGGTTAAAAATTAGTGATAAATTAGTTGCAAATCGAGATCATTCCATTGTACAATGCGGTGATTTTACCATTCGGTTTATCAAAAATAAGTTCCTACATAGTAGTAGGAGAAGTACTGAAATGTCTCAACTATACAAGTCTTATCTACTTTTTCATGTACTCATTGACTTTTATTAGCTCTAAGCGATTCAATCTCAGGATAGGGAACCCGCCATAGAAAATTTCGGGGAAATGACACAAAACCCTAGATTTTCCACAAGTTTGCGTAAATCCCCAATAATCTTAAAACACTTGAGAAAACCGATATACTTTCTGTGGTCAAACACTTTTTTTCGCATTTTCGGGACATTTTGCGCGAATCTTGGTGCTCTACTACACCTTATTCGAAACCCCAAGATTACTGATTGTACAGAAAAGTCTATCGACTTCATAACAAGTATCTAAAACTTCGTATCAATTCAATTATTTTGCTTCAGTCAACTTCGCAAAGTAAAAGCAGTTCCAAAGCAATTAAATCACTATTTGTAACAAGAACTAGTCTGTCACGATAGATACGTACAATCGTTGTTAAAAGACTGATGCGTTATAAATAAAATTAAAATTTAAAGGAGTGCAAGTCGTCCATCTGCAAGCGTTCTTACACGTGGGTTTGGAGGTAATAAAGTTTTGCAATATTTATCAAGTTATCGTAAAACGATACACAATTTTCCAAGAGTTTTCTTGACCTCTGAAACTAGTGTTAGACATATCATCATGGCGACAAAACTAGGTGTCAGATGCTACACTTGAAGATGGATCATTCAACTCAGCAATATTAATGATGTAGTTATCGAGCATAGATCGAGATACAGAGGTTGGTGGTGGTGAAATCTTAGTGATTTGGGTATTCGATAATATCTCAAACGGTTTCAACTACTGTTCATTTAAGTGTTCAAGATTATCAGTAACACTTTTTATTCCATGCCCGTCGCCTACTGTTTAGTATTGTCATTGGGTTTCATTAGGAACTACAATGTTGCAGATTCAAGGATAAAAAACGATTGAACTTCTCTGATACGATCGGTTCTCGCCAAGACTGACAACTGTCTATCATACTGAGCGCATGAAACTTTTTCGGCTAAGAGAGGAAGAAGATGGAATTAGAGATTACCCGATATTTATAGCAGGACAAGCAACTCAAACGAAATTAGCACAAAAGTTGTTACCATATGTAAAGATTTAGCGAACTGTAAAACATGACAATTAATCGAATGTTAAGCGAAAGATCAAATTGGTTGAATGTATGCGAACGATTATCGTTCAAGAAGATATATGAGACCCTCGAATAAATTTTGAATATTCTTGCGACCTCACCAGCAGCATAGAATTCACATGGAAATCTCGGCTTTAAACGTAGAAATCTAAAATCGCTGAACTCAGATAAGTTTACAGAAAAAGGCAGCATCAACCATGTAATCATTAAACAACATGCAAAGACATCATTTCACTTCAAACTATACTCCTTAGATACTCATTGTAGTCACATAAACTTACAGTAAAATGGAACCTAGTTAATCTCTACCTGATCTTCAAATGAGGAGATAGAAAAGATTCAGCTTGCTAAAGCCTATTCACATCAATATCGTTGTATTTAACGAAAAAACTGTACAATAAATACATCGGGGAATATGTGATAAAAA